CCGGCGTGCCGGCCCCCGGGGAGGAGGTGGTGCCGCAGCTCTTCACGCTTGAGAAGCGCAGCCTGTTCTCCCACATCCGCGGCGAGATCACCTTGAAGATTTATCGCACCAACTCCGGGGAGGTTGTCGTCAAGTCCAAGCCGGAGAAGCCGGTGAAGGCGGTGGTGTCGGGCCCGGAGGTGGTGGCCGCGCCGCCGGTCACCGGGCCCAAGAAGCAGCAGCAGCAGCAGCCGGTGGTGGCCGTGCAGCCGCCGCCTCCGCAGCCGGAGGCGCCCATGGACATCCTGCCGCCCCCGGCCCCGGTGCTCATGAAGCCGGTAATGCTCGCCGACCCCTACCCCGCCTCGGCCGTGTTCTCCGGCCCCGGCGACTTCTCTCTCAAGGAGACGCGGCCCCGCCTCGGCGGCGGCACGACGGCCGACAAGGCGAGCGCGACCTACGACCTGGTCGAGCAGATGCAGTACCTGTACGTGCGCGTGGTGCGCGCGCGCGGCGTGGCGGCGGTGGGCGAGACCGTCGCGGAGGTGAAGCTGGGCAACTACCGCGGCGTGACGCCCGCCACCGCCGCGCACCACTGGGACCAGGTGTTCGCCTTCTCCAAGGAGACCATCCAGTCCTCGTTCGTCGAGGTGTTCGTGCGCGCGCGCGGCAGCGACGACCACGTCGGCCGCGTCTGGTTCGACCTCTCCGAGGTGCCGCGCCGAGCTCCACCGGACAGCACGCTCGCGCCGCAGTGGCACATCATGGAGGACCGCAAGGGCGAGCGCGGCGCCGCGGAGGTGATGATCGCCGTCTGGTTCGGCACCCAGGCCGACGAGGCCTTCGCCGAGGCCTGGCATTCTAAGGCGGCCGGCGTCCATGGCTACGGACCATTGGGCTCCATCAAGTCCAAGGTGTACGTTGCCCCCAAGCTGTGGTACCTTCGTGTGTCCGTCATTGAGGCGCAGGACTTGATCCCTATGGACAAGGGACCAATGGCGATTGGCCGGTATCCGGAGCTCTTTGTGCGTGCGCAGGTTGGGAGTCAAATGCTGCGCACACGGCCTGCGCCAGTGGCGGCGAATCGAGGACCATCAAGCCCGTTCTGGAATGAAGACCTGATGTTTGTGGTTGCTGAGCCATTTGAGGAGTTCTTGGTGTTGTCTCTGGAGGATCATGTGTCACCAGGAAGGGATGATGTGCTTGGCCGTCTTGTTGTTCCAGTATCCTCCATTGAGAGGCGCTGGGATGAGAAGCTTGTTGTCTCCAGGTGGTTTGGGCTGGATCGTGGCACTGGTGGTGGCAATGTTGCAAGTGGCAATACAAATAGGTTTGGGAGCCGTGTGCATCTCCGCTTAAGTCTTGATGGGGGATACCATGTTCTGGATGAGGCTACTGCTTACAGCAGCGATCTCCGGCCTACTGGAAAGCAGCTGTGGCAGCCACATGTTGGGGTGCTTGAGCTCGGTGTGCTTGGTGCGACTGGATTGATACCGATGAAGGCCCGTGATGGCAGAGGTGCAACCTCGGATGCATACTGTGTTGCAAAGTATGGCCAGAAGTGGATCCGCACTCGTACTGTCGTCGACTCTGTATGCCCTCGGTGGAATGAGCAGTACACATGGGAGGTGTTTGACCCTTGCACTGTCATCACGGTTGGTGTGTTTGACAATTGCCATGTTGACAAGCCAGCTTCTGGGAATACCACATTGGCTGTCCGTGATAATTGCATTGGCAAAGTACGTATCCGGCTTTCAACATTGGAGACTGATAGGGTGTATACACATGCCTACCCACTTCTCATGCTGCATCCATCAGGGGTCAAGAAGATGGGAGAGCTTCACTTAGCTGTGCGCTTCTGCTGTGGCAATGCTGGCAACATGTTCCATGCCTATGTGCGTCCGCTGCTTCCAAAGATGCACTATATTGAGCCACTGCTTGTGCGCCAGGTTGAGAGCCTCCGCTTTCAGGCTACCAATGTTGTAGCAGCTCGCCTTGGCCGTGCTGAGCCACCACTTGGCAGAGAGGTTGTTGAGTACATGCTAGACCACCGTTCACATCTATGGAGTATGAGACGCAGCAAAGCAAACTTTTTCCGCCTTGTCACTGTACTCTCTGGACCGATCACTATTGGCAGATGGTTTGAACTTGTCCGCTCTTGGAATCGCCCGGTGCATTCATGCCTTGCTGTATTCACATTCCTGGTGTTTGTCACAATGCCGGAGCTGATTCTTCCGACGGCATTCTTGGCAATGGCATTCACTGGGTTATGGAGGTACCGTGTCCGCTCAAGGCACCCGCCCCACATGGAGATGAGGTTGTCTCATGCAGACGCAGCCACTGTGGATGAGCTAGATGAGGAGTTTGACACATTCCCTTCGAGCAGGGGAGATGTTGTGCGCTTCAGGTATGACCGCCTTCGCAGCGTTGCTGGGAGGGTGCAGACAGTGGTTGGCGACATAGCAACACAGGGTGAGCGAATGCAGGCCCTTCTCAGCTGGCGTGACCCGAGGGCAACAGTGCTTTTCTCGATCGCCTGTGTCCTTGCTGCGGTCATTGCATATACCATTCCGATGAAGGTGCTGGTTGGGCTCTGGGGCCTGTATGCTATGCGTCCGCCAAGATTCCGCAGCAGGATGCCATCTCCGCTGATGAACTTCTTCAGGAGGCTGCCATCCAAGGCTGACAGCCTTCTCTGATCCTCATTGTTGTGCAGCTGTAGCTAACCTTGTGGTCTGATAGGTGATTTTGGCCCGAAGGAGATGCTTCAAAGGAATCTAGGAAGAAACAAACTTGCAGTAGGTTCAGGTTGCTTGCTTGCTTAGTTTAATGCTTTTAGGTAATGTATGCTTCTCTATGATGCAACTTATAGCAGTTGCAGACTTGTTCTTGTGCCTTTCAGTTCCAGTTGTGCGAAAAGGCTAGTTGTGATGGTAATGTGTAATGTGGTGATGATGAATTAATCAAGTTGATATTTGAACTTGTCAGGAGGCTATTTACCTCTGTATCATGTTCTGGGATGCAACTGTCAGGAGTGCATTGTGGCTCAGTACTAGTACCAGTAGTAGATGTTTAATTGGTTTTACTATTAGTACTTGTGTTCTTAAACAACTCTATGATGGTGGTGATGCTTCTCACATGTGCCGATGTGCGTGTGGCTTTTGTGGTTAGAGTTCAGACCAAAGCTCTTGTTCCTTTTGTTTTTGTTTTGTCTCCATTCTGTTCCCATGTGGCTGCAGGGCTCAAAATATTGGAAGAAGGGATTGTTCCCGGTTTCAAGTCTAAACAAGTGTTTTTGTTATTTGTCTGATTGGTTCAATCGACGTTGTGCAGTGAGCTGCTGCATGATGCAAGAATGAGCACGCTCGTGGGCCGTTGCTTCTACTGCTTGTCTGCATACTGAATAATTTTATGTTCATTTCGTCTTTTGAAGCGATTAAAGCAAAGGAAAAAAGGTTAGGAGAATGTCTAGTTCTGCTAGTACCTTTTTTGTTCAAAGTTTCTTCTTGTCTTGGATGTGCCACATGTTTGCATGTTTGGTTTGGTTTCACTTTGTACCATTGGAAGATGGAGCTGCGTGCTCTTCTGACTGAAGATGAGGACCACAGCAAGAGGCGACCCGCGACCATGGTTGGCAGACGGCTATCTGCTCTGTTCAAACTGCTTGGCTTCTGTCTGACCTGGAGTGGGTAGGCATGCTGCATGCCATGAAACAACAAAGATCCAATTTGTTTTCTCCTGTTTGGCTCATGTAGAAGCAGGGCACAATCTGAAAAAAAAATGTATTGAGTCATTTGTGCTAAGTGAACGAACTGAGGGCTTGTTCAGTTTCTTGCTGAAATTAACATTATCAAAACTTGACAATGCTAAACTTAAAAAACATATTTTAGCATTGCCAAATTTTGATAACATTGGATGTATTCAGTTTGTTGCATTATCAAAATTTGGTAGTAGTGTTTGTATCAAATTTGGTAAAATGGCAATGGCAAGAGTTGTTTGTTTAGTTTGTTACCCTAACAAAATTTTATAACATCAAAACAAAAATTTTGATCAAGCCCGAATTCACCATAGATGAACAGATGAAGAAAGAGTACTAGAGTCATCAGTTTATGGGGGAGTTTGTACTGCTCGGACGTGTGCTTCCCCACGCGCAGTTCATCCCCACACCGCCGCATCTCAATGCCGGAGAACACCGTTCATCCGGTCGAGCGGTCGCCGGCGAGGAAACGAAGAGGACTAGCTAGGGCTTTCATCATTTGTTGGGCTGGGCCGAGTGATTCGGGGGCAGCTTGCTCTCGGCGGCAGCCCATAATTTGTAAGTTTTACAAGCCGTCCTATCATTTCACTACGTTTACACGTACGGTTTATTAGTAAAAAAAATAACAATCTGGTAAAAAGTAAATGCTGTAAAATAAATAAAACGATAAAAAGTTCACAAAATTAACTTCAAATTTAAGTTTTAAAATTTAAATTTGACTTATAAATATAATCATAAGTAAAACAATGGGTTTGCTCCCCAACACGTTGGGCAACTTTGGAGAACGGGACTACGAGTTTAGTTCAGGGTTCACAAAACCAGTGGTAACTGTGTGGTTATCGTGCTTACCGCCGGGTACGATAAAGATAAAACCGTGGTACCCAGTTAAATTTAAATAAATTTATAAAATAATTTAAATTTTTGATAAATTTTATACGGTTTGTTACGGTTACCGTGCTTATCGTCAGCGTGCGGTGACCTGCATTCTCCGACGGTAAGGGAAACCCTAGTTTAGATACAGGGAAAACTCTATCATCTAAACCAGGGTCTAATTAGTCGTGGGAGTTTTCTCTCTTTGATTTTTATCCCCATCCTCAATTTCTTGTTTAGTCAGGATGAATTTTGATGAGAGTTAGATTTTTTAGTGATGATGGATGGCTCATATCTAATTGGTTCATATATGCACACGTAACGTAAGAGCAGGGCACATTCTGAAATTTGATCAAACCATTGTGCTAGGTGAGCGAACACGAATTCACAGAGATGAACAAATGAATGAATATGAAAGATGGCCACAGATAAAAGATTCTGAATCACCCAAATACTACGGCAAATTCTGCCAGTCATCGCGAGGGTTGATTTTTGTCTATAACAGAACGCACTGTCCGTGCCACAGAATACTAACAGGTATAGTGGACAGGACATAGTGATATACATCAAACCGGCTGACAATGAACGATGAATCATTTTGAGGGCAAGTGGCAAAATCAAACTGCAATCCACTTTGGTGGAGAGCATAATCTTCATAGGCCGTAAGGGTTTCTGGTACTTGAAACACCACTGATGGAGGTTCATAGTATTAAGACACAGGAGCTGGGTTCCATGTTAGATCACAGATAACTAATACTTTCCTGTCAGATTCTACTCTCTGAAACCACCGGTGCCAAATCAAAATGCTCTTCCAGCACAGAGAATACTTCGGAAAGCGAAGAAACCTTGAAGTCAGGTCGAACACCTTCAGGCAAAGAATCATGGGGACCGTATCGTCCTGTTTCGTCAAGCAAGCAAGTAAAAGCTCCTGCTCTCTTACCACAGACGACCTGCACATGTTTTCAGTGAAAACTATTTCAGAAACAACATATTAGCGTCCATAAGCTACTGAAGCATCTTTCTGAGTTCAGAAAACTGTGAATTGTGAGCTAAAAGGGCATTGTCCAATACCCTAGTAACTTAGCTTATGCAAGTATTACAGTTAAGGGGCATATAAAAAAACAACACTAGAACAATTTAGCTCAACTGCAGACTGAAATTAAAACCATGGGACAAAGCAAACTATTTAGAAACAATTTATAAAGAATTCTTACATCATCCTTGAGGCTATCACCAACCATGACCACCTCATTTGGTGGAATATTCCAAGTGGAGCAAATATGAAGCAGGGGAGCTGGATCTGGCTTATAGGGGCGGAATTCTCTACTTAAGGCTGGAGAAAACATCATCTGCAGAAGAGTTCAGATGTCCATAGTTAGCATATTGAAGATAAATGCATAACTGCAACCTTTGGCTGATAGCTAGCAATGAACCAGGTCGATTGAGTGTATGAGAACATTAGAAGACAGTTATCCAGAAAATTCAACTCAGAACATTATATAATCTCTTGAATTCAGCAAAACACAGGGAAGGCTTGACAAACATATCCAATAAAAAAACATGCATTCCGTAATGTGTACCCAAGTATAAACAATATTCAATAGGTCAGAGCAGTGGAAACTATCAGACATGCATGAACAATAGAAGATCAGAATAATACAAGTGCAGCAACTTACACCAAACCTTTGGTGAAACAAATCAACTGCGGTCTTCACATTGCGGGTGATTAAACCTCTTCTGAAAAATATAGAGGGTAGGTCTCAGTGCCGCACTGATATCATAAGGGTTGCTAATATAATGAGGTAATAACAGAGAATACAGTTAATTATTGTTGTTATTTATGTGTGGTGCATAAATAATTCCGCTGTTTTACAGGATGATAACAGCGCATACTAAACAAGCATGCATAGGCACTACAAGGAGGCTGTTTCAGATCAATCCAAGAATAGAGGCACAACAAAAATAGCCACATGATTTATGATCTAGTTAAAACCTAGTCACAAATCAAAACACAACATTTTGATACATGGTGTATTGATATTTATTGATCCTAGAAGTCATTAAATTGCGATGTATGCATATTTGAGGTTGATAGAGCACATGAGCTCAGCATTGTGAGAACAAGAAAATTCCTTTATTGCAAGAGAAAAGGAAGATGATGAACAGAGATAAACTGTGTATCAATTAAACAGCAAAAAAACAGAGGGCAGTAGTATATTGAACTTTACAGCCATACAGTTTCCCACCTACACTGCAGTCAACCAATGACCAATAGCTCCATAACTATTTGTCAATTATTCTGACATATAGCTTGCATATTTATCATCTGTTCAAATTTCAGGAAGCACCGCTTTAATTCAAACAACTTATCTACCAGGTGCAGCAGCAAATGTACAATTTGTATAGTTTGTCCGGTCTCCAGAATTGGTTTCTTGCACAAAATCAATCTTAAGAAGCAAGATTAATTCAGCTCAAACTGGATGGAGTGTATAGTGCATAGATACATTTAGCCATTTAGGAATAAGAACTGGGAATAAAAACTGGGAGCTCTACCGACTACCAGATGATACAGGCAAGTGCATCAGCAATTGTACAGTTTGTAGTTTATCCAGAACTAGCTTCTTGCAAAAAATCATTCTTACTAAGCAAGATCAATTCATTTGAACTAAGCATCTTGACGAAGATAAAGAAGCACATTGAGCTACATTTCTGAACCAAAGTATCAGAACCGGTGGCTCTACCAGACGGGGCCCAATAAGCCAAGAACGCTCACCTGATCTGCTTTGCGTCCAGGAACCCGCAGAGCTCAGAGGCACCTGCAACATCCACCCAAATTGCGACCTCAGTAGTCCTCAGTAGGTTGAGAAACCAAGATAGCACTGCACAGCCTTGGCATTAGAAATCGCCATCGAACGCATGCCAAGAGGCTTACCGGGCATGATCTGGAGGCGGTCGAGGCCATCCTGCTCGAACCGCGCGATGACCTCGTAGGCGCGGCGCTGCTCGTCGGGCGCCCAGCCCTCGATGCAGTGGAGTATGTCGACGGAGCCCCCGCCCGCCGCGCGCGCCGCCGCGTAGGCCTCGTCCCCGCCGAGCACCTCGCGGTACATGGCCGGGAAGTCGATGACGGGCACCGTCAGGGTCCCGTCCATGTCGAACACCACGCCGCGCAGCAGCCGCGTCCCCGGCGCCGCGGCGGACATGGCGGCGGCCGTCCGGCGGCGGGGGAGAGGAGCGGCGGCGCCGGCGAGGAGGCGGTGGGCGAGGAGCAAGCGGGGGAACATACGTGGCGCGATCTCAGCCGCTGGATTGGATTCCTCCGCGGTGTGTGTGGCCCGTGTGTGTGGTGGTGGTGGTTGGGGACTCGAGCCCACTCCGCCTCTTAGGGGGCTAATTTGCAAAATATAAGGTCCTATTTGCAAAATATTGGGAATATTCTGATGATGACTTTTTGCGGTAAGACCCTATGAGGGGTTATATAGTAAAACCGTTGCGAACAGGGTTGTTCCTGCAAAAAGTGCAGACGCGATGCGAAGCTCTCCCTCTCGCGCGGCCATGGCGGCCGCCGCATCCGACAACGCGAAGCTCGAATCCTTCCTCTCCAAGTCTCTGATTCTCCAAGTAGATCCTATCCCTGCACCTCTCCTCCAACTCCGGCGCTCTCCAGCACTAATCTTCCCGGCGGGCCAACGGCGGCGGCCGTACGATCCGCCTCTGCCGGCGTCTTCTCTACCGCTGCCGATCCATTTCAAGACCTAATTATCTACCTCATGGAATTTGTTGGTTACTGAGGACGAGCTTGCTGAACTAGAACTGCATCCTCTGCTACTGTAACGAAGGTACATATACACATCGTCACTGGCTCACTGCAACTCTCTGGCTTTCAGATCCATGGGGTCCAATTCATGCATGCTGTTTATCGAGTACACAAGTGTAAAATCATCAGTGGAGATGAACAAGCCGATGATTAATTTCCAGTGCCAACTCTGTACCTGCATTGCAAATGCTAACAACGCCGCGGATTCATTTTCGGTTGGTTCTGAAGAACTGGTTGGTTGCAGACTTACAGTTCATTTAATTCGCTCCTCTGTTCTTTTTTACTGCATAATGAAGGACATTTAATTCGCTCCTCTGTTCTTTTTTACTGCATAATGAAGGAGATGAGTACTGCATGAGTGATTGGGGTTGGTTTCATTTTACTATACCTCTTTTCGGAGGCTACTGAATGAATTCTTCAGCATGGCATGTACTGTTTTTAATTAATTCGGTCTGTCTCAATGTGCTAGTAAATTCAGTATCAGTAATAGGAAATGTATGTGTGAATTTTGCATTTCTGCGACTGACAGTTAAGCAGAAAAAAATTCCTTAATTCTGAAAGATTAATTAAAAACCTATCAATAATGATATGTGATTCAAAACAAGAACACCACGTACATACACAACACAGTACATATGTAGGAGTAATTAAACACACTAGCTGATGAGCAATCGATCTGACCGGATGATGATCGAGCTAAGCTCAAATATGGTTTATGTGGACGCTATATATCTAGCAAAAACTAAAACTAATCACGGACGTACGTAGAGTACGTACGTCGAACACTTGAAAAATCCAAATGACAGTAAATTACGGAGAGAGATCAATCCATCGATCTGACGATCATTCTGATTGATTGCAATAATGCATGCAGGTTGTAATCATGGTGGCGAGATATTGATCAGTTGCGGAGTTGAGCTTGTTGGTCGAGCTTGAGGATGGTGCTGAGGTTCATGGGGGTGATGTAGTCGAGCGAGCCGTGCATGAACTGCTGTACGATGAGGCGGTTGGCGCGCTCGGTGGGGTGGAAGGCGTCCCAGAAGACGTACGAGTCGCGGTCGGCGCAGAGGTTGGAGACGAGGGTGCAGAGGCCCATGCCGTTGAACCTGCCCTGCCCGCAGCACGCCTCCGTGGAGGTCTCGAACCCGTGCGCCCTGGGGTCCTCGATGAAGTCGTCGTGGGCGCGCTTGGTGTTCACGCCGACGAACACGTCGCCGCCGACCTCCGCGTTGAGCTCCGCCAGCATCGCCACCAGCTGCGGGTTGTACGCGTCCGCCGCGCGCTGCAGCTCGGCGTCGCACCCGCCGTCGAGGCTGTGCAGCGCGAGCTCCGCCGGCACGCACCCGATCGGCCCGACGCCGGTGACCAGCACCCGCCGCGCCCCCAGCGCGTGGATGTGCCGGAGCACCTGCTTGTACTCCGAGAGGATGTACCGGATGTAGTCCGGCAGCGAGAACTCCCGCGACCGCGGCGAGTACGGGATGAGGTAGTAGTTGTTCACGAAGTCGTTGCCGCCCAGCGTGATGAGCGCCAGCGACCCGGCGACCACCTTCTTCGCCTGCTCGTCGCCGACCACCGCGCGCAGCCGGTCCTGGTACTGCTCGAAGTACCTGATCTGCTTCTCGATGTGGATGATGTTCGCGAACTGCACGCCGGTGTCGTTCAGGATGCCGATGCCGGCCGACGCGAAGTTCGCGCCGACGAGCAGCCTGTCGCCGTCCAGCTCCGGGCTCAGGTACGGCAACACCGGCTCAGCTCCCAGGTGCTCACCTGCATCCATGAATCCATCCACATTATAGCTAACAGTCTTGTTCTAAATGTGAATTAGCTTAGTTGATTAGTACTAGAGTTTATATATTGGCTGCATGCTGCTTAACTGATAATGTCAGGCATGTTCTTGCCATTGGAGAACCTCCCGGTGGCGCGGTGGTCGGGGGTGTCAATGCCGTACGGCGGCGAGTCGGCGCGGGCCGACGTGATGAGGTAGTTGTTGTTGCCGTTGTCGACGAGGGAGTCGCCGAAGACGAAGAAGGCGCGGGCGGCGTGCGACGCCGGGAGCGCGCCGATGCAGAGCGCGGCTGAGAGCAGCACGAGCCATGACGACGACGACGACGCCATGAATGCTACTACTGCTATCACTATACACTACGTAAGTACGTGAGACTCAATAAACGCCTGTTGCTCTCTCACTGATTTGCTCCTCGCCATGCTGCTGCTGCCTTTTATAGCGCGTGCTCGCGTCGCTGGGGGTGATTAGCGTTTATGGATCGCCCGTACTACTGTCCGTGTGTTGCATTTCTCTGGTAATTTTGTTTCTTTCACTCGGATTAATCTCTATTGAGATGTGTACATTTGGATTTCTTTTTGCAGCTTCTGGTGTTCTTGCTTCGTTGGCGAGTGACATGAATGAGTTTGATCAGTTAGGTGGTTAACTGCACTGGTGTGAACGATTGGTCAATCTGTTCCCTTGACTGGATTTGACCATGATGTTTTTTTTAACTTGACAGTTCTTACTCGATGGTAATGCTTTGCCACGGTGATTAGTACATTGTATTCAAGAGGGCAGCTGGATCTATCATCTATGCAACGATGCCTGGATTTAGATGAGCTGTAGTACATAACTAGCTCTAACATTGACGGTCAGCAGTAACAAGATCTGGGGTTTGAGTAGTATGCATCAGCAACCCACATGCAGCTGTTTTCTTTTCCCTGCAGTGTGATCATACGTACAATTCAATCAGTGATTCAGTGCCACCTCAAAAAAGATGCAAGTGTGTAGTGTAGCACATTACAATAGACCACCTCTGACAGCAAGTGAGTTTATTCATTGCAGAAAAACTGTATCCTTTAACCTTTCTTCTTTATTTTCAGCTCTCATTTTTATGACCTGATACAAGTCGCTACATACCCTTTGCTTAATACAAATATACGCAAAGCTTATGCTGTTCCTGCATTTTTTTTTAAAAAAAAGCTATTACATATATTATGTATCCTCTTTGTTTTAGCCGTACTGCTGCTGCCTACCACCTTTGTTCAGATAAGCTACTACTAACAAGCTGCAATTATATTCTGTTTATGGATACTTTTTCATGTTTACACTCCAGCATCCATGTGTACATTCTCTACCTATTGAATATACTCTATGTACAGTTTAACCTGGCAATTTCTGCTGAATATCTATCTCAGGATCTGTACCATCTTCAGTAAAGGAAAATATAATCCAGAATGAAATGAAATTGGATCTGCCCAAGCAGTAAGAGGGGACCCTTGCCCACCCTCAACCGCGGGCCGCATTTATTTCTGAATTCAGGTACATGATCGAGCATCTTCTTTCCTGTGATTGCGCATGGTAAAATCTAGATGGTACCATCATGAAGATTCACTACTTATAGTTTGCCTTTCTCATAGTTCAGATGAAGTACTCAGCTAGTAACTATAGTGTCTGGCAATACTCCGTCCAAAAAAAGACCGATCCTGTCCAGGTTTATTGCTAGATTGGTTTTTTTTTTTTGGGGGGGGGGGGGGGGGGAGGGGTAAGCTACAAGCACTGTTGGTTCAGGAAAATAAAAAAAGAATACGTGAGAAAATACATACATGTAAAATATGTTTGCATTGGTGAAAACTGCCAAGTTACAAACACTGTAGGTTCTGAAAAACAAACAAAAGAAAATGTCTCTACCGTTTGATTTAAACATCGGAAAAACAAACAAAAGAAAATGTGGTGTGGTCATTGTTGTTCCCTTGTTTTAACAAGTGGGAGACATAGAACTACTCTAACATTAGGAATGACCTGGCTGCATAATAACATAACCAGACTCACCTCCTTCTGGAGGCCATTGAATTCTGATGTTCCCTGGACAGGAGGATGAAAACAGATTGACATGGGGCAAAGCCAGTAGGATGAGATCTAAGCTAGGAGGCTAGTTAAAGTACAGAAATTTTGACTTCACATGCTTCGGTTGCTGGAGTGAACCGGTTAAGCAAAGTACAGTGACTGTGATTCTTGCAGTCAATCTACCTGTCCTGGTTTTTACTGCTGATAAAACCTGCAGATAGGCAGTATCTTGCACCTGCTCATCAAATCTTCATTATTTACTGTTCTAGTACACATTAATATTTATGAACACTTATGTGTAGTAACATGAATGCATTTTCAAAACTCCATTTTTTTGCATGTACTAACATGATTCGACTGACGAATTGATGCCATATTTTTCATGAAGAGGTGTCTGAAGTCATCTTTCTCCTTGATACGCAAACGAACTCCGCTGTTTTTAATCAAGAGAACAAGGTGGAGCTCTAGCTTGGAGTGTATTTGATCTCATGCGACTCTAATCAATGCGCTTTGCTGTTGATGGGGATCTGCAGATATGAAGGCTACAGCGATGCTTCTCGATCGATGCTTTTGTTCTTAATACATGTCACCTTCAGGGCGATCCAACCACGGCAAATTAATCATTTGATGATGGATACTACACTCTCCAAATGCAACTAAGTCGAGGTTGATAGGGTGTCACTGTCTCACGAGATCCCTAATGTACATATAATGCTCTGATGACAGTGATGTTGGGGAATTAATGGGAACTGATATATCTTAATCATGGCCACACTACTCTTCATAGACAAGCTATAGACAGTACTGATACAGTTGGCCTATGGACTAATGGAGTATGTCTTAATGCAGGCAGCAATGAAGCACGCATTAAGTTTGTCTAGCACTGTTAAATTAATGCTAATTAGGATGCACTTGGAGAGCTGTTTCCAGTGATAATCCATGCCATGCCGCCCTACTACTCTACTATGTTTATGCTTGTATAATGAGGTTAACTAACGTGGTGTATATATGCATAATATCGTGTAATTACACTACCTACCATTAGGGGAATGTTATTTGGATAATACTGTAGCTAGCTGGAGTGTTAGGCTGCAGTTAACTGTTGCAGCCATATACAGTAATGGTGCCAAGTTAGGTAGGTAGCCATGAATCATTAACTGTTGAAGTTAATTAGTAGATGGAGTACATGCATGTCTCATTTCAACCACTGGTAGTAAATTAGGTGGTGTTTACATCCAGGGACTTAACTTTAGTCCATATCTTTAGACACTAATTTAGAGTATTAAATATAGACTACTTACAAAACTAATTACATAAATAAAAGCTAATTCACGAGATAAATTTTTTTAAGCCTAATTAATCTATAATTAGAGAATGTTTACTGTAGCATCACATAGGCTAATCATGGATTAATTAGGCTCATTAGATTCGTCTCGCAAATTAGTCCAAGATTATGGATAAGTTTTATTAATAGTCTACGTTTAATATTTATAATTAATTTTCAAACATCCGATGTGATAGGGACTTAAAAGTTTTAGTCCCATCTAAACAGGGCCTTAGTTACTCCGTATCGTCGATCTTAATTATTATTAAGGCCGTATTTTATGTTCTGTACTGGGTACTTCTATATCATTACGTGTGTACGTGGTAAATTAATCGATACTCCTGCATACCGGTATATCAACTCTAGCTAGAGTCTAAGTTACCGTTCTGTCTATGGATCATGTGCATCACAGTTCATAAGCTACAATTTCTTCTTATCACATTTTCTAAATTACTAGAGAACTTGTTCTAAACTACTCCGTATTTATTATTCTATAATATACAATATTTAGTTCAACCCTATAAGCAATTGTTCATAAGCTCTGTTCGCTTGATCTATGGCACCAAAAATAATTTATGGGCAAATTTATATACATATGTTCTTTGGAAAATAAATCATGATGATTTTTTTAAATCAACTCTATAAATCAAGTTTTAAAATTTAAGTTAGCTACAATTGATAAGGAAAATAAGCAGACGAGGCTAGGAGAGACCTAATATGTTCAACCATCTATAAAGACTGTCTTAGTGTTCTTTACTTTTTTTTATCACTTGGAGATAGACGGTAAATGGAGAATATAGTGCAAAGCCTGTTTACCATTTCCAATTCGAGGATCTTCAGTTGACTTGCAATATAAAATCGAGCACGGACAGCAAATAGGTCGCAAACTAGGGGGTGGCCAAACAACTATTTTAGCCTTCGGAAATCTTGAAAAACCATCGACCACTCGTTGTTTGAATGCCCAATCTCAAAGCAAATCTAACTTGGTGTGCTTCAATGGCTACGGCAAGGGCATATCATCCTGAGATGGAGCACCCATAGGATCTGCTAGACTGATGGACACAGGTATAAGCAATTCAGAAGCAACAACATACAAATGACTCAAACCAGTCTTCTTGCTAATTGCTTAGGAAATCTGGAAAGAAAGATATGTGAGAATCTTCAGAGGAAAATAAGCGACAACCCATCGAATAATCAATCGAATTCAGGACGAGTTGGGTTGTTAGAGCTTGATTGGCGTAAATCACATAGCGAGATAGTTGCCATGAGAAATAAGGTGGGCTGAGAGTGCAAGCATGTTTGCAATTAGAAATGTATTATTTTTCCTTTTCTTTCAGCTCTTGTTTTGTACTTAAACCCATTCTACCAATATAACGCCAAACAATCTGTTTGGCCGTTTTTAAAAAAAATTCTTTACTTTTGACAAAAAAAAAAGACGTAGTAGGGTATCTTCTATTCGACTTCTATAAGAAAAATAAGAAAAAGACAGTCTTAGTTATTGCCTTTTTTTTTCCCTGAATGCCTTACTGGAGTATAATTACTGTATCCTTCATTCCCTTTGTGACTGTAGCTGTACTTGTACTTGTACGGCGCGGATGATCCCTCGGACAGTGCGGCGACCCGTTTTACCGGCTAGGATTTATTAAGGCCGGCCAACACGTGGCTGGCTCTGATTGGAAAATGGGCCATACTGTCTTTAAGCTCAACTGGACCGGCCCACTTTTCATGCATACTACGATGGACTTGTGGTGCAGCGTTGGGCCGACACGGCCCGTCATAACCGATGGCCCAATCCTAATTCACATTGGGAGTCTTAAGCCCAGGTGGTTAGTTGGTTGGGCTTATCGTTGCGTTCACCGGCCCAGCCCGGTTGATTGTTCAGCCTCACTGCTCCTTCCTCTTCATCAGAGTTCATAGCTGTTCGAAGTTCAGAGCTACATCCATCGAGATCAAGAGCGAGAAATAAGCCCTTCTTTATGAAAGCTTCTGGCAGCTATAAATTCTCTGAGAAATTCAAATTCTTACCTATATTTTAAAAATTAGTAATTTAGAAAATGAACTAACAGCAAGAAACCAAGAAACCCAAATTTCCTAAGTTCTTACTAGCTAGTCATCGTGTACTAATTCTCTGAATCTCTAGCTCGTCAAGAGGGCCACGGCTGAACTGCAAGTCGCCTGCCGTTGTCTGTTGATGCGCACGTACGAACCGCGAGTGTTCCAGCATACAGTGTACTATCGATCGTTAACTATACTGGCTTTACATCTTCTTCTCTTCTCTTCTGAAGATGGTGTCAGCATCGCCCTCTGTACTGTTCAACTGTACATGAGCAGCAATGCAGCATGCGTGCTTGTTGGTCAGTCAGGCATCACGCTCGCCGGGGAATTCGATCGGCACGCATGCATATCCATCCGACGATATGTCGATCGGATTCGACGTCGTCTGTCAGTCGACGGCGACGGCGAGCGAGACAGGATCACAGGAGGCAATGCAAATAGGAGTATATGCAATGGATGGACCAGACGTGTGTGTGTGCTCTGCTGCTTGTTAAGTTCACGATCCTGTCTGAACTCTGAACTCTGAACTCTGAAGACTGAGATAGTACGAACGTCAGGTTCAGATATGATCGACGAGCCGGCCGACCGGCCGTTGCTCTTTATTCAGATTGATTTCCTTTTGCTCCGTGCCCACTGATTTCGTTTAATTTAACTGAATACGACTGCACACTTGCAGCAGCTAACTTAATGTTCAGATTTAAGGTCTGCAATTACTGGCCTGGACATGCATAGGCCAGTGATGGAGCCAGGAATTTGACGATAAGGGTTCTGACAGTCTCATACTAGGTGACAGTTCAACAGAACAAACGGGCAGCGGCATAAACCAAACGAATGAAGAAAATGGATCGAATGATCAATGGAGTACTCTAGATGTCATGGAGATTTTAGTTATATGATTCAAGCTTTCTCCATCGAATGATTTATGATTCAATGGAGTAATTAACATCGTGCTCTTATGTATTACTCCCTCCATCTCAAAATATATTTGTTACATTCATCCAAAATCCCTTATATTTTAAAACGGATGGTATATACCGAGCATTTTGGCAATCCTTTTTGGGTCCTCACTGCCTCCTCCACTGCTACACATGTCCATCAATGTCAGCTCATGAATTATCTCATTGTGATCGTCTGCTTGGTGGCTTCTCAGCCAAAACCAACTTTAAAGTCTAGAAAAAGCCACTAAGCCTAGAAAAAGTATGTCTTAATGTAGGGTATGTTTGTCTTTTCACATTCATACTAATATGTCAAGATTAGCTTAAAAACAAGGTATTTTAAGAACGAAGGGAATAGTGTACAGTTTTGAGTTTTAAATCACTAATAAGTAATAATACAAATATAAATGTTTTTAGTCATGAATTATTTTTAGTCAGTTACTTCATTTTTCTCCTTGCATTGGGCGTTCTATTGCTGCAGTGATGTTGTTGGTCCTAACTCCTAACTCCCTATAGATAGAAGTCAGCTTTTTCCTCTTATATTAGACAGAGGCGATGAAGGTTGTTAAGCTGTCCCCGAGAGATGAAATGAAAGAAAAAGACTAAACATGTGAGTGTGATATCCAAAAACAATTAGACTCACGGCGTTGTCTTGGCACCTCAGAACAATCCAGTGCAATAACTCTCTTGATGTATCATCTGCAACAGTCGATTGCTGCATGCCACCGTAATAGTATATGTTTGTGTCCTAATGTCCTATGAAAAGTGGCTTGATAAGTAGTGCTAATTAATTGGTGTATTGTCTAATTAAGTGAAATGCTTCGTACGTTTGTGTTATATACTACTTTCTCCGTTTTACAATGTAAGTCATTTTAGCATTTTTCATATTTATTAATATTGTTAATATGAATGTGGGAAATACTAGAATGACTTACATTGTGAAACGGAAGGATTACTCCACTACGAAAGATTATAAGTTTGTGCAATACAAGTTGCCATGTACTACTTGGCACATTTGACTTCATTACAACTCTAAATAAAGTCACTTCAAAAAAAAACTAATATACTTGTGTACAGCAAACATTTTTATATGTTTATTAATTCAACATCAAAATAATTAACAGCCGTTGCATGTCTGTTGGAACCATTGAGAGAACTTAAATACATTGCTATCTTCTGGAGTATAAACAATAATTAATGCATCATTCTTTGGTCACCAGCAATTCCGCTTACACATCAGTAATAAACAGTTAATTCACGTTCAGTCTCAACAATTACCAGATTAAAAAAAATGATGTAATCAACATGATACATACTTACAAAAATACACTTGGTAGCTAGCCTGGTTGTTGGGGAGTAGTATCAGGACTTCATAAAAACAACAAGAGCTTGCGTTATCCTCTGAAAAAAGAAAACGAGATTATAATGTAGGTATTCAAATTCATCTCTCAGAGCATGCAATGCAAGCATAATAAAACCAGACGTATTTGGTATACCGTCCAGGACACCGTATAAATACTAGTATAAGACATCAACACGCATGCTGAACTGAATACGACGGCCGGTTGGTACGTACGTATACATCCATCCTACAAGTATGCACAGTTGTCGATCTCAAGACTTTGAAGTCTGAAGTCTGAACTGATCTCTGAATCATCCAGATCTCTATGCATATGGTCCATCGTCCATACATGGATGAGATCTCGTGGAAGTCTATAGGATCGATTAAGGACATGCGAACCACTACACCGATAGAAGGGGAACCATTTTGATCCTCGAGGGGTGTCTCCTATTTATTTTTCGCGAAAGTGTTCTCTATTTATTAAAACACCATTCAAATAGTTTTAGAAAATTCTTTAAAAAATTAACAATATTTATAATTGTTTTATAGAATCTTAAGTTGAAAATTAACCCACCCATCGGGATATAAAAATCATAAATTCAACATGTATAACAGCGGTACACACCAGATTTATCTTTTTTTTCTCTCCATGTGTAGGTTGAATTTGAACTTAATTTTTTTTAGCAGAGAGGTAGATACCATCATACTTTATATTGTCATCTTTTACAACTATTTACATTAAATTTAGAGAAAAGAAGTATATAAAGGGTTACGAGAGGATAATTTATGGAGGGATTAGAATCCATTCCGCTAGCTATACTGACATTTTTAAAAAATACTAGCTATACTGTCCTGAAATTCTCCCCTGCAGTCGCTGCGAATACAGAATTGCGTGGTCTCTGCACTGTCACGAGTCACATTTTGATTGTGCCAATTGTTGGATCAGTGCTAGCTAGCGAGCGTAGCAGCCAGCAGTGTTGACGCAAACGCACTAACGGTCCGACCGGCGACAGGCCGGCGGCTATACATCCAAGACATTCTGTTCCAAAGTCAGAGTCGCGATCAGCTGCAAGCATCCGCCAGGAGCCAAATAGTACATGGGACTACACTATTCGCTGCTACCACTAGCAAGCCGGAATGGATTAGGCCGAGTTCTTTCCCCAGTTTTTCCAACTCACCTCACTCATTTTTCACACGCACGCTTTTTAAACTGCTAAACGGTATATTTTTTGTAAAAAGTTTCTATACAAAAATTGCTTAAAAAATCATATTGATCTATTTTTTTAAAAAAAGGTTAATACTTAACTAATTACGCGATAATGGGTCGCTCCGTTTTCTGTGCGCAGGAGATGGGTTCCCAATCCAAATCAACGAACACAACTAGGCATATTTTAGAGAGCTTCTAGCCAATACAGCTTCTTCCAGAACTAGAAGCTCTTCCAAACAGTTCAGCTTTTGATACAGATACTTAGAAACTATAACTATAGTTATAGAATCCTGAAAATAAACTAGAAGCCAGAATCTAGGAAACCCACCTTTTCCAGAATCTCTGAAGCTAGCTACTATCTTCATCCTAAAATACTTGTTGCTTTGAGTTTTTATTTGTAACTTTTGATCATTCGTCTTATGAAAAAAATATAGAATTTTTATTTTTTTTATTTATGACTTGCTTTATTATCAAAAGTACCTTAAGTGTGACTTATCAACTTTTTATATTTGCACTAATTTTTTAAATAAGACGAATGGTCAAACGTTATAAGAAAAAATTAAAACGACCACTAATTTAAAACGGATGTAGTACTAATTAGTTATTTCTTGAAATTTTAAGCTCTTCAAACAGATAAAGAGCAGAGTCGCTGCACGCAGGCAGAGCCATGTACGAAAGCTTCGATCTTGTGCAGTGCAGGGTAGATGCTGCTCGTTTCGTTTGCCTGCTTCGGCTGCTCGCATCCACGAGAGGACGGCGACGGCTCAGCGACTCACCGGCACCGCGCGCATTGTGCGGGCGAGGTGAGGGGATCCATTGTTGCTCGTCCGATCGAGCGCTGGACCTGCAGGTTGATGTGGCTGTGTCAACCGATCTTCTGGGTCAGGGCTACGCTTGCGTGTAAACATATGCAGACACCGGTGCTTACTGTACATCGAGTGTACGTAAGTATACTGTATTTTTTCTCTTTCCGATTACACAAAAGACGCACACGCGTACACATCACCGCACACGTATATCACGTTCAAACATCCACGAATGTGTCCCTAACACACAGTTAAAGAGACGGAATCATATGCGTGTATACAAAAATCAGGATTTGGGAATACTACGTCCACATACGCTACGGCGACTACACGGTAGGGGTTTTCCAGCTCGTTCTTTTTCAGATTCAGGGTCCATTAATTCTTTTTTCCAAGTCATTTTCAGTCTCAGAGACAAAAGCTTCCAGTGTAGGTTCAGTCATTTAGAGACGTTATATCAAGGTGACATATACTGGGATTCTCGATATGTACACTTCCTCTCAAATCTTCGGATTTCCATGATTCACTACATGGCTAGATACATGCAAAGTTGTGAACTGCGCAACATATAATGATGAATAATTGAATATGCATGCATGACGAAATGCACTGCTTCCTTTTGCATTTACAAGCTGGCAAACATTCAGACTTCAATCCTAGTTTCTGTCCGTTGCTAATGTTTTTCGGGAATACGCAAGGAGCGCATTTTTTCCTGTCCGTTGCTAATGTGTTAAAGGACTTGCAGAAGTCGCCGTTGTTTATCTTATTCTTAGCTTAATTTTGGTCTTAATCTGACCCGATGCATAGTTCGTTGGCTTCTAACCACCTTGACCCAACAAACAATCAGTTTCATCTGCAAATTCAAAATCCATTTATAAAATGCAATCTTATTTAAGTTCTATCTCTGTTTGTTAGAAACAGAGCTATATTTGCTGATCACTAGCTTATTCCTGATGGCTGAAGTTGTACAATTGCAAACTTAATTTGACTCAGTTACCTGAAGTTCTTTTTCTTAAAAACTTAAATACTATATTCAGAGCAAACCTTTTGGAGACCATGAACATATGGTTTATCCACCTGTGATGGATGAACTAACACAAAGGTCAAGACAAAGCTCTGAAAGGAACAGTGAAACAACCATGGAACCCCCTCATTTCCCGTAAACTAAACCGTACTTTGCATAAGGAGACAAGAACACGATCACTTGGACATCTTACCAATGCACAGCTCTTCGTGTGAGGATTTGACTTTAAAAACAATACTAGTAGTACATAGAACACGCTTATTTGTTCCTCATTAACTAAGACTCTAATCAAGATTAGCTGAGAATGTACTACCTCCGGTTCCATATTAATTGATGTTTTGGACAAGATTGATATCAAACTTTTATAACTTAGACTATCAATAACTTTAAAAATATTTATTTTAAAGAAACTAGAACAACATATATAGATTTGTCTTTTAAAGTATCATAATAAAAGTAAACATGCATTTATTTATTATATATATTATAATAGAAAAATAAGATCAAAAATGTATCTTATAGACTGTGTCATTGTCCAAAACGTCAATTAAAATAAAACCGGAGGGAGTAGCTGCTTAGAGGATGAATTTCTTTCTTATGTCACAACAGCGATGGTGCAACAGCCACCAACGGTCTGAATGCCTGAATTAATTAGCTGAGTTCGATTTGAATTAATTGGGTTCTGTGGAATGAACAAGTACTACGAACAGTACTAGGATATACCACTTGAGGTTTTTTTTTCAAGAAAAAAAATCTCTATTTTTTTAGTGAAAAAAAAAACCACTCGAATAGGTCTCTCGGTTCTTGATAGGCCCAAAACACTAAGGCAACGTTCGTTTGGAGGACATTGAGGGAGAAAGCAACTCATTTTTCGCACGTACGCTTCCCAAAGTACTAAACGGTGCGTTTTTTGTAAAAAATTTCTATAGGAAAGTTGCTTTAAAAAATCATATTAATTCATTTTTAAAATTTAAAATAATTAATACTCAATTAATCATGAGCTAATGGCTCATCTCGTTTTGCGTATCTTCTCAATCTCCTCAATCCCCTTCTTCTCAAACACACCCTAAATATCGTGGAATTGAGGTTCATTATTTCATTAATTACAAATGATATCTCTGAACTTAATGAATGCTGGAGACATGTGAGTAATACTATCATTTAAACCAATGAATTGAAGGGCTGATTTGTGCTACAAAGGTGGTTGGGAATCAAGTGAAAATAAATGCTTCCATTTTCTAGAAAGTCAAGAATCACATCAGCAAATGCTTCTTCCAAACACATGAATTTTACAGAATTTTAACACTCCTATTTAGTTTGAACCCTCCAAAAGTCCATCAAAAAAAAAAATCAAATTCTCCAATTTTTAAAAACAAGGTTAAGCTTGGTCAAATCACATTCCAAACCGCTAAACCCGCGCCTATATAAACCTCCTCCCCAAAAGCCCCACTCTTGGCTTCGTCTCCTTGCTTCTCTCGGAAGCCTCTCGCTTTGGTTTGATTTTCCCTCCAATTCCACCGCATCAAAACCATCGCGTCGTCGGCGAGATGGCGGCGGCGTCGTCGTCGTCGGCGTCCGCCGCCGCGGTGGCGCGGCTGCGGGAGCTGACGCCGGCGCCGGGGGCGGAGCTCTCGGAGACCGGCGCGGCCGCGCTCGCCGAGTGCTGCGCGCGCCTCCTCATCTCCGCCGCGGGGGGCGACGCCGGGGCCGCGCGGCCGGCGCTCGACGCGCTGTGCGCGGCGAGCGGGGAGGCGATGCGGCGCCACTCCGATGAGCTCGCGCCGCTGGTCGTCGGGCGGCTCGGGGACGGCGACCCGGCCGTGCGGGACGCGGCCAGGAGATTCCTCGTGCGGCTCATGGAGGTATTGGCCCTCTTGGGGCACTCAATTCTGTTCCCCTTTCCTTAGTTGGTTAGAGCTCGTGGTGCTGTCTAATCCAGTGGGTTTGCATGAGCAGCTTCTGAATTCTGAACTGTACTTAATTACTGAGATTGATAGTTACAGTATTAACAGTGCATATATACAGTAGTAAAGTGAGATCAGAAAGAAAAGGAAGGCGAATGTTGCAGGTTTTTAACAATTCATATGAATGTGTCATATCTTGTTAGAGCACATACATATAACAATAGCAAGTTAACATATTGATATTTGGGTTGGGTTAGTTATCTGCGGAATTTATGAGATGCAACAACGTTCACACATCTTATTGCCCTTAAGATTTGGCGATTTTCACCCTGTTGAAAAAAAAAAGCTCATCCAATGTATTTCTGGTATCTAGTGCTTTCAACAATATTGTGAAAGCAGAAATTATTACTTATCTATGTTTTTTTTGGACATAAGAAGGTAGAGCCCTTATAGCCATTTCATTGATATAAATGGACGGTTGCAAAGTTACATGAGGAGTAGACGAGGAGAGGGAGAGAAAAAAGGAAAATGAAAAGGGAAAGGGAGAAAGAGAATGTACAAACGTTTAAAACTTAAAACTGTACACTATTACTTACTATTTTGTAATGTGTGATTAATATCCATCGTTATCATGTCTCAAATATCAGTTTCATACCTTCATGCTTTGATTACTGAGTTGCAGATGAAGGAGATGAATGCAAGGATGGGAAATGGAGAAAAAACCCCATGCATATCAGATGTCCAAGACAACCGATGTATGACAATACAAATTGAACCAACGGATACCAATCAAGCAAAGAAAAGTCCCAAAGTGAAGATTGTTACAAGAGATGCCTCACTTCTTGCAGGTACTATGAGAGAACTCAGGGATTCAAACCTAAAGAATGTGAATTGCTGTTTCAGTTTCCTTTCTTTTTAGACCAATATCACACTAAACTTGTTCTTATAAATTACAATGTGAAATACTTGTATCCAATTCAGCATGTTTTTCCACAATTGTTTGTTCTCAGATAAGTTTCAACATCAACAATGTAATCCAATATACTTGATAGGCAAAAGCGTCCCAAAACTATTTACTTTTTTTTGTAAGAAGTCAATTAATTTGGTCTTATATATATATATATATATATATATATATATATATATATATATATATATATATATATATGCTAACTGACCAAATGGGTCATGAGCTCATGATTGCATTTTTTTCATCAAAATAAAATTAGTGGTGCAAATAATCTTAAATTATCTGTGAAAATGCATGGCATCATCTAACAGCATTTTATAACATATATAAAGTTAAAAGTGAAACAATTGTTAGAATGGTTTGACCCGCACAATTTTTTATCCCTCAATTTCCAATCGAGAACTTGTTTTTATATGATCAACTCAGGCCTGCTGGTCAAGATGCTCTTCTTGCCACTAACTAATCTTAGCCCAATAGGTGATAATAGGCTAAGAGCAAGCAGTGCTGGTTTTTAGAACCATAGATACCTCAACTGAACAATGGAGTTCTGGTTACCTGTTATTCTATTATGCATCCTGGACTCTGATTTTTCTGTTCTGTTTTCTTCACATTCTTTGATCTTACCAAAGCTATCCCTGATCATTGGGAATTTGGGATGCGATCTGTCCATCCATATTTGGTACAGGAGATGGAGATATTACAAGAAAATCGCTTGGACCAATAAAGGTATTCTCTGAGAAGGACCTATCAAGAGAAATAGAAAGAGTAGCATCTACTTTACATCCAGATAATGAATGGGCAATACGAATAACTGCAATGCAAAGAGTGGAAGGCTTAGTTCTCGGAGGTTGTAATTCCTGCACATTTCTGTTTGTATTGATCACTATCATTGTACACATTGGGTAAGTTGAAGATTTTTGTGATTTTTGTCTAATAGTAATTTGTGCCAGGTGCTGCCGACTATTCAGCCTTCCCTATGCTCCTAAAGCAGCTTGTGACCCCACTCATAACCCAGATTCTGGATAGGAGATCAAGTGTTGTGAAACAGGTCTGGATGTTTAGTTTGTTCGTCTTTGTAATAATGCAACCTATTTCACTGTTTGAGATAAGAGAATGTTGCTTGTATGTACTGCAAACCATATAGTTCCCATAGATGTACTGTAGGCAAACCAAAAATAGATATATTGACTTGGTGAGCGACTGCCTTTAAACCTTTGGTATTGAACAGACCATCTTTCAATCATATTTTGGGCGCTCATTAATCCAAGTGTTTTCCAATATTTACAGGCATGCCATTTGCTAAATTTCTTATCAAAAGAACTGCTACGTGACTTTGAACCGTGCGCTGAACTGCTTATTCCGGTATGTTGCTAACCTATTTTTACATCTGTTGGAAGTTAACAGTATCATCCTGGATACTTCTAAAATGACCTCGTTACCATCTTATATTTGTAGGTCCTTCTTAAGAATGTTGTGATCACTATTCATGTAATTGCTGAGTCCTCGGATAATTGTATAAAAGAGGTAATATACCGAAGAAATTTTGTTTTCCATTTGATTTCATCATTTTTATGTTCATTACTTCCAAATACAGATGCTGCGGAACTGCAAAGTAGCTCGTATTCTACCAAAAATTATTGAATTTGCAAAGAATGATAAAAGTGCAGTTCTCCGTGCCAGGTAAGAGAAACACAATATTATAGTATAGCTATAATCTTGGATGAATGATTAAAAAGGCATTTGCTGTTGTAGGTGTTGTGAGTACGCAATATTGATGTTGGAGTTATGGGTTGATACTCCAGAAATACAGAGATCAGTTGATCTGTATGAAGAATTCATAAAATGTTGTATAGAAGATGCAACTAGTGAGGTATTTATACGGCACGATTATTTGAAATGTATGAAAGGCACTTACACATTTCTTCCTTATCTTTTCCATCCTCCTTTTACCTTTGCAGAAACTTTTTAGTGGATTTTCTTTGCGTTATATATCACATATATTTAGTTAAATGTACTGTACACCTCAAATGCATAACTACTAGCCATGAATTAAGTATCTTTTCGTTATTACCAAAAAAAATAAAAATACATACCACATTGCGATGACAAAAGGATTGAAAGGAAAACCAGGAAAAATAAAAGGTATAATGTAATTTTTAGCCACTGTATAAGATAAAATACCTGCATAAAAATAGTGATTTTTCCAGTTTCTTAAAAAAAAGGGTAATCTGGAACATTGGTCCTGGAAATTTTTTCAAGAACACATCTCAACCTTTGATTATGGTTAAGGCCATAATTTAGGCAGATGGTTCACTATATTTCACTAAACACTTACATTTTTGTGCACTGCATTGCACTTAAACTAGTGGTCCTGTGTGGATGTTCTTTTAATGTTCATCTTGATGACTTAATCAGAGATTTACACTGATTTTCCAATTCGAAGGTCCGATCAAGTGCTAGAGCATGCTACAGAATGTTTTCAAGGATTTGGCCTGAACGTTCGCATCAGTTGTTTTCATCGTTTGAATCATCCAGGCAGAAAGTATATCCTCAGATTTAACTGATATATTTACCTAATTTGTTCTATAATTTAACATTATTTTGTTGAATTGCATAGATGATAAATGATGAAGATGCTGAGACACAGCAAAGGCATCTTTCTCCTGTAGAAAGAGTTAAATTGATGCAGCCTCAATCTAGTTCTTGTAATTCAACTGAAATTGACAAAGTTGTCAAGGTCGATTCTGGAACATCGTTTTCTTCTGTAGACCTTCAATCAGTACAAGTGAAAGCATCCGTTCAGCATGATGATATGACCTCAAAAATTCAGCCTGAAGGCAAAACTGATGGCACTACAACTACTGGAAGTTCATTTAAAGATACCAGTACGTTAGAAAAAGAAACAAGCCCAGACAAAGGCCCTGATCCTGATAAATGTGATTCAGGTATATGTCATGCAGAAATAATTTATTTATATTTTATCTGCTAGCAAATCAGGATCCATTGACCAAGTAATTGAATCCAGCCAATACTGCAGGTGTCAATTTATCATCTTGTGATCCATCCTCTGCCACTCAATTTATACTAGAACCTACTTCAGAATTGCTACCGTCTGATGCAACTGTTGTAACAATTGTTCAAGACAAGGCTGAATGCAGGCCAAATACTGAACAGCTGACTCAGCAAGTTCAAGTTTTGGGACATCCTTCTGATCTGCTGAACCGTTCACCTCCTGTTAGTTTGAAAGAATCAGGAAACTCGCTGAAACATAACCCTATTCAAGTGAACTTTGATGGTAGCTCAGGTGGAAAACTAGGAGCTCAGAAAGTGAAGCATCATACTAGCGCTCCTAATAAGAGTGTTGTTCGTAAGGAGCCGCGGAACAATTACATTCCCAACTTCCGGCGTCCTCTCTTGAGTAAGCAGATGACAAACTGGTTTTATGCCAGTAACAGAAGTGATTTAGATGACAAGCAACTCATTTTGGGTGAAATGGTCAGCAACATGGATGTGCCCTCCTCTCTCACCGAGGCACTTTCTTTGGGTCTTAAACCAAAGTCAGATTGGATGATGAGGGTATACGCATTCAATTTCTTAAGACAATCTTTGCTAGAGCAGGGACCAAGAGGCATTCAGGAGGTTGCACAAAATTTTGACAAGGTTATGAGGTTTGTTAGTCGTTACCTGGCTGATCCTCATCATAAAATAGCACAGGCTGCTCTCTCATCACTTTCAGAGATCATGCCAGTTTTTAAGAAGCCTTTTGAACATTATCTGGACAAGACTCTGCCTCATGTTTTCTCTCAGCTGAATGATCCAAAGGAATCCATCAAGCAGCAGTGCTCAGCAATTTTGAAACTTGCAGGTGAAATCTATTCCATTGATTCGCTCTTACCGGCCCTACTTCGTACACTAGAAGAACAGAAATCTCCCAAGTCAAAATTGGCAATTATTGAGTTTGCAAACTCTTCTTTTGTAAAATGCACAGTCAGTTCTGACAACTATTCTAGCAGCAGCTTCCTTAAGCCATGGCTTGAAAAGCTAGCTCTTTTGTTCAAGGACAAAAACAGTAAGCTAAAAGAGGTTAGCGTTGCTGGTTTCTCATCAATCTATTCTCACTACGATCCTGCATCTTTGTTAAGCTTTCTAGTTAGCTTGTCAATGGAAGAACAAAAGAGATTAAGACGGGCAATAAAGCAGTTGATCCCTACAATAGAGAGCGACTTGGAAGAGTTTTTGCAACAAAGGAAACATAAGCCAAAGGTGCCACTATTTGATTCTTTTGTTGGTGCATATCAACCTTATGCTAAAGGTTTAGTCATAAAGCAAAATAAGCACCATCTGCATGCCACATATCAGTCTGATTGCCTTCAGGCTGATGATGTGTTCGATTCTGCACTCCACTGTCTCCCAAGAATTTCTTTGGAAGTTCGTGAGCGACGCGCTGGGAAAATTGAATCTGAATCTTACGATGAATCTAATGGTCATGATGCTGAAATGATGGACAAGAAATCTAGTGATACAAGGTCGAGTGACCCCCCTAGAACATTTGATTATAATGTGATATCAGATAACACAGTTGAGAGTCCAAGAAAAGAGGGTACTGACATCAAGAGATTTGAGGAATCAAACGAGAGTGAACTGAACATAACTGTCAGAAATAGGAATGTCATATTGAATAGCTGTCAAGATCATGGACCAAGCATTTCCAGGACATATCATCAGGTTTCTAACTACTTGATTGACCCGCCTAATGTTTTGTCTGATCATTGTTTTTTTTAGATTATTCCCATTTCGGTCAGTCTATTTTCTTTTGTGGTTTCTATTATACAGTATGATCACATATATTATTTTTGATAAACAGGATGAAATGAGTCAAATGGAAGAAGTTCCAGAGATAAATGGCCCTTCCGTGTCAATCAAGGTTAGATAAGGCTTCGATCTGAAGCTTTAAGTGGCATTGTCCTGTAATTAGTCCTGCTGTCTTTTTTCTAGGGAATATGCAAAATGCTTCCGTACTATTGCATTGAGATAGAAAGCCTTTTGCAAAATGATCTAACTATACATAGGGTATAGGCATTAGATCCAGCAACCTGAGAAAAAAAAGTATTCTTTTTAACTAGTTCCCTTTTCAGAATTTACAACAGATGTCCTCTTCTCTACTTGAGATGCTTGATGATCCAGAGGAATCCACCAGAGAGCTTGCACTTACTCTATTGGTTGAAATTCTTGAAAAGCAAGTAAGTGTTTCTGAAGTTATTTAAGAGTGTGTTCTTGGTGTGGCATCATTTAAATGCCATCTTCCATGAAAATGACATTTGTCATGGCCATGTAATCCAGCGAAAGGCAATGGAGAACTGTATCGATACTCTTATAGTTAAATTGCTGCATGCAACCAAAGATGCTGCCTTGAAGGTACTGCACTGACAGTGTTCTTTTCAGCTTGCAGTTCTTGATGCCATAAAGTTATTGCCCTCTCAAGCCTTTTATGACATTGTCATTGCAGGTTGTAAATCAAGCCCATATCTGTTTGACAACGGTGGTTACTCAATTTGATCCGCTGACATGCCTAAGAGTATGTATTATTTGTCTTTGGGATATTTTATTTTCCCTTTTGTAGTAGTTGGTATCTTAAGTGTTTAATCCAAATAAGCAGGCAATTGCTTCTCAGTTGGCCAACCAGGATGAAAAAGTTCTTATTGTCAGCATCAACAGTTTGAGCAAGGTACTCCTAACCCCAAGACTGCAGTTGATATATGTCAATCTTTTTTTTTAAAAAAAAGGAAAGATATATGTCAATCTTGTGTATGGTAAAATGGCGAGTTCAGTTCTAACAATATTTTGGTACTAGGCTAGTAGGCTAAACCATCAAATTATATGGTGAAAGAGCACATGTTTAATCCTGCATTTCGTTATCTGTGGATTATGACTTTCTTGTTTACCTCCACTTTTGTGATATCATATTAGTTGAGTGAGCTATGTACGCAATTTTTCTTCTCTTTGTTGCTAATTCTCGACTTCTTCCTTTATCTGCAGCTTGTTATTCGATTATCACAGGACAATCTTATGGCACATTTGTCGATATTTCTTCCTGCACTCCTGGACGCCTTCGAAAACCATAGTCCATATGTCCGCAAGGTCATTCATTCCCACTAACTCTCACAAATCCTGTTTTAAGATCAGATACTATTTCTCATAAGTGAATCTGAAAACTTTGTTCTTATTATTCTTCACCTTTCTCAAAATTCTGGCATCAAAGAGGTTATGGCACAATCAGAAATACTTTTTTTTTAAAAAAAAATGGAAATAGATTCCACTTCATAATGAGCGTAGCCCTTGTTCAACTACATTGACAAAAAAATTCATAAGAAGTACAGCTACAAGCCTGCAATGTTGAGGTGTTGAGCTTGAGCATCTCCCAGTAGAGTTTATTCAGAATCCACGAGCATGCCATATCGATCCTTATATATGTTTGTATTAGCCCCTTCAGTTTTATGGGCCAGATTCCACTTTAGTCTTAACTGATCTCAGCACAGTTCACGAGTACTTTTGTATTTGGATTCAGTGGGCTGTGGGCATCATGCGGCGTTGTTCCTTTGGACCTTGGATTGTTTGCAAGGCCTTGGCTTTGTAATGTCATTTGTGCCCCCCTGAATCTGCTTTACTATATTTGTGCTACTCAACACAGAGATGGATATATTCTCCAAGAAAAAGCAAACAAAAGAAAGTAGCATGAAACATGCAAACAAGCAAAGAATTCATTCATGCACCCTGTACTTTCCAATTAAGTTCATATTTCATCGAGATTTTTTTGTCCACAGCTCTATTTGCTACAAGTAGCAGAATGCTCATCATCCTGTGTGCTGCCATTATATTGCAGGCTGTGGTGTTGTGCTTGGTGGATACGTACCTGAAGCTCGGGCCAGCGTTCTTGCCGTATTTGGAGAGGCTGGACAGCGCCCAGCTGCAGCTGGTAACCACGTACGCCAGCAGGCTGTCCCAGACGAGCTTTATTGCTGTGGACGCTTGATGCAGGCAACCCAGCAGCAACAGCAGCAGCAGCAGAAGACGCAATGCTTGTTTCAACGATAACTCTCCACCGTTGGTTAGCCTTAGCCTTCTCTTTCTTTTTATTTATGGCCATGTGTGCACAATAAGGGCAGCAGCTCAGCTCTCTCCCCCTTTCTCCAAATTTATGAGCATAGTAGAATAGATCTCTATACTGTAAATCATAATTACCTGTTTTTACTACCCAGAAATGAGATACATGCATGTAGGCAGTGCAGATTGTACAACCAATGGAAGAATAGTAGTACTAGCATTTTCATCCTGTTTGCTACAGCTTATGTGATCTAAAGGAAAGGAAGAAAAAAATATAATGGGTGTGCAGTTCATAGGCTGTGAGATTTCCAACTTGTCCAGTTGCTCCTTTGGCCGTACTCCACAGGCATGTGCCTGATTTATACTATTATTACATATATGACATATGTGATCTATTTGTAATCCTGTGCACGCTGGCAAATCTCGCAGATACTATTACTACTACCACATTTGGGATTGAGAACCCAATTCTCAAATGGCCATCTAGAGTTCTGAATACACACAGTGGCAGAGACAAGTTGAATGAATTTGGAAAGATTAATACTACTACTAACATGTTCTTCGTCCATTGCAGAGACTGTGACAGCCAGACAGGATGGCATTATGTGAGTAGAAAACCAGTAAAAGAGTAGACTAGATTAGCAGTTACTGATAATCAGATTGTGCTTAGGCAGGCGGCCGGCAGCCATATGAATGATGTGGTGTGGAGGACAATGGCGACTTGGGGGTCGCAGAAAGGCGTAGTAGAGACTAGAGAGAGAGGTCCAAGGCAGTTAAGCTTGCAGGAAGGCAGAGGCAGAGGCAGAGGCAGCACAGGCACTGTGAGAGCACATGCACGTCTCAATGATAGGCGCCACCAAACACCCAAGTTGAGGTCTTAAGCAGCAGTAGCAGCCATAGCTTGGCCCAGGCCTGACCTTAAACGCGACAGGACGAGGTAATCAAGAAACGGGATTAAGATTAGCCGAGAGGCTAATCTAATGCAGATGGATTTGCTGCTACTACTCTAATGGTGGCGTGGATGACGAGAAAAAACATTTGTCCATGCCAATTTGCCCCCTGCTACACCAATCAAAATAGAGTTAATTATAAATATACTAGTCGTAGGTTCGAGTTGTATGAAGGTAAAAATTTTCGTGGCACGTTTTTCAAACTGTTAGACGGTTTGTTTCGTGTGAAAACTTTCTATATGAAAGTTGCTCTAAAATACTTTTTTCATTTTAGGTTATAAGACTTTCTAGTATTGCCCACATTCATATATATGTTAATGAATCTAGACATCATATTAATCTATTTTTCAAATTTATAATAATTAAAACTCAATCAATCATACGTTAATAGCACCTTATTTTACGTAAAAATCTTCATCTTCATCTTCACCTTTATTACTTCCTCCGTTCCAGAATATAGTAAACTAGAACCGGATTGAACGTATCCTAGTACTACAAATCTACGTTTCATCTAGTTATATGTTGCTATATTTTTTTTATACGGAGGGAGTTGAAAAAAGAACACCACCGTAGTAGCGGTGGATAATCTAGTGGCAATGGAAGAGGGGGAGGAGTAATAATAATCTTGGGGTGGTAATGGCAGTGGCAATGGCAATGGTGGTGTACTACGCCGCTTCACTGGACGCGGGTGCCGCGGCCCATTAATGAGCCTTCACGTGCTCTGCCACGCCCCCACCTCCTCCTCCTCCTCCTCTTCTTCCTCCCCATCTCTCTCCTCTCCCTCTTCCTCTCTCCTTTCCGTGTGCGCCATTGCAACCCAGAGAGGCAGACCACGCACACTGCACTTGGACACGAAGACGAGAGCGGTTTCCGGTCTCTTCCCCCCAACCACCATTCCCTCCTCTTCCCGTCTCCGGCTCGCCGGAGCGCGAGAGCTGCTGCTGCGGCGGCGTGGGCCCGATCACCGGCCGGCCTCCTGCTCCGCCGCCGCGGCTGCAATGGCGCGCTAGCTAGATCCGACCCATCCGGCGCGGTTTAATACCTCGGTGTATCTCTCCGGTCACCGCCGGCGGCGGCGACGGCGGAGGCGGCGGTTGCGGGCTCGCCGGCGGCGAAGCAAGCGGTGCAGGTATGAACAAAAAGAGAGGAAGGCTAGTCACTCCCTCTTTTTTGGTTAATTTAGTTTTGGTGAGAGCGTATTTCGTTTGCCGTTTTCGGGGAGGGAGGGAGGTGACCGTTTCCTTCCCTTCCGTCGCTTTCGTCTCCAAAAGCGGCGCCTTTTCAGGTGGGATTAATCAATGAATCCCCTCTCGCTTTCCCTAATCTTTTCTTTTCATTGCCGCTGTTTGTTAATTTGTTTGATATGATAGGAGTAGTAATAGGAGTAGGAAGAGGAAGAAGAGCTCTCTCCTCTCCTCTCCTCGTCTTTAATGGATTCTACTGGTACTACTTCTTCTACTACTAATCTTGTTCGTCTCGTCTTCTCCTACCACCTACCAAATCAATCCCATCTGCTGTCTACTACTAACCGGATCCATCCATGGGGACCATGCCGATCGATCAACTATTTCCTCTCCCGCCTCTCGCATTGGCTACAAACTGCAAAGCAAAGTAGTAGCAAACATGATCTCCTCCTGCCCACTTCTTCTTCTTCTTCGTGGCATTTCCATGGATTCATAATAATAGCCCCCAATCACGGGACATCCATGGATTCTTTAACTTTGGCTTTGTTCCTGATTTTCGCCGCTACCCACCTCTGGCTTTGATTTGGTTGGGCCTTTTACCACACATCCATTCTCTATTTCTCTCTCTGGGTAAGAAAAGCCGGTGCCTTTCTGAGGAGAGAATGCGAGCTGAGCTGAGCTTTCTTGCGGCTGCCTGCTTTCCCTTTCGTGTGGATTTGATCTCCCCGGCCGGACGCATCGCCACCCATGTCGTCCCGTTCCGGTAAGAAATTTCCCACCTTTCGCGGCGCGGTTGCGACATGTGCAAGCTTAGCTTCTCTTACCTGCATTTGCGTGATGCTGCTGCAGTATTTTAATTTGGAGATTACCCAGGGCAAAAAAAAAAAGAAGAAAAAAAAGAGGCAAAGCTTTACATATAGCTTTGCTTTTGCTACCGTATTCTTTTCTGTGCATCTTCTTTGGCTGCTACTACTACTACTGTACTGTGGCCTTTCCAGGCCCCGGGGTGAAGTGTGATGATTAGTTCTTGTGCCATCTCGCATGATAGTTCCCTGCATTTCTCTCTCCCTGCCATATTGTTTGTTCTTCTCCTCGGGGATGCGGTGGGGGTGAGTGCATTTCACGTGTTGATTCCTTGCTTCCCACTCGTTGTTGTTTGGGATGCAGTTGTTTCTTTCTTTGTTCGTTTCGTTCTTGGCCGGTTTGTCTTGTCTGGTTCTTCTCTCCTCTCCCTCTTCCCATCGTTCAAAAAAAGATAAAATTTGGAGCTGCTTGATTGTTCAGTGTGAATTTCGAACTTTGAAATCTTGGTGATACTTGCGTATTCTCGTGATATATCATGTATGCTATTTTGGATATTTGCTTGCAGTGTTGAGAGATGAGAGGGGTTCAAGATAGGAAGCAGAAGAAGAAGCAGGACCTGCAGGTTCTCGGGCCCTTCCCTGGATGCTTGGGTAGGATGATAAACATGTTTGACCTCAGCAATGGCGTGGTCGCGACCAAGATGCTCACAGAGAAAGCGCATAGAGATGGTATGCGTCTTCGTCTACTTCTGTTTCCCCCTTCTTGTTATGCAAGATTGGTGCTAGACCAAGCTCTGATGCAATGCAGCATACGCCTTGCAGTTTCTCCAGCAGGTAAAGACCGTGGTAATGCTTTCAAGATGGCAATTGGTCCATTCTCATCACAGATAGAAGATAAAAAGGTTAGTGAATTGTCTGTCCCCCTTTGTTTCCTGTTGCTTTTGAACTACAAACGAACTCAAGCATAACCTGGTACTTAGTATGTATATGTTTTTATTTGGTTTTACTACAGAGAGATAGTCAGCCTAGAAAGCAGTCCCCAACTAAAAGATTGAGCTCACCAACTAAAAGATCTGGTGAGGCTCCTGTTAAATTGCTCATGGAGCAGGACATGTGGAAAGAAGGGATGTCTGGCGAGGAGCCACTGAATGTTGTTGCCAGATTGATGGGTCTAAATGATGCTGCCGGCCACCAATCTGATCTGAAATCGGGAAAAAGATCAGACAAGGAATATCGATCTGGTGGTTTTGATGAGAACAGTCGGAATCTCAGACCAAAGAAGGACAGCAAAGGCCACCCAAACCAAAAGGCAGGAACACACAGTGAACCATGCAGTGGTTTCAGTGATCAAACTTTAAGAATGAATAGCAGCAGGAATAAACACCAAGGGAAGGAGCCTTCTTGTGAGAAGAGAATGACCCTTGTGCGTGAAAAATTTGCTGAAGCAAAACGTCTGGCTACAGATGAGAAGCTTCTCCACACAAAGGAGTTCCAAGAAGCATTGCAGTTTTTAAGCTCAAATAAAGATCTGTTCTTGAAATTCCTTGATGAGCCAAATCCACTGTTATCACACAACAATTATGAGTTCCAACCTGATACCCCACCTTCGGAGACAAAGCAAATAACCATACTGAAGCCATCAGACTCAATCAAGAGAAATGGCAACACTCTTGTAGGGAGGCAGCTCTATTCAGACGGAGATGAAAGTGAAGGGAACAGGTGCAGGCGTCATCAGAGTTTAAGTGTTTCCCCAACAAATTCAACATTGTCTGAACCAACAAGAATTGTAGTACTAAAGCCAGGACTTGTAAAGTCCCAGGAACCCAAGATTCTGAGGTCCCCTTCATCATCATCAACTGCAGCTGATAGTGAAGATGATAGTATGTCGGCAGTTGATGAGACAGTGCCAAGCTCAAGAAGACTGGCCAAAGAGATCACTTGGCAGATGAGGATGCGTTTGAAAGACAAGCAGGATGAAGAAAACCTACTCTCTTATGAGTTCCATGATATTTATATTGGAGATGACTCCTTCAGCAAGTCAGAAGTTGAGAATGCAAAAGAAGTGTCTGGTGAAATAAGTGAGGATTTGGAGTTCGGTACTCCTACTTCTGGCCGTTCCTGGGATTTCCTGAGCAGGAGTGGCAGCCCTTACTCTGCATCATGCTCTAGTCAGACATCCCATCGGCGTGAACCATCAGTGGTCAGAGAAGCCAAAAAAAGGATTTTTGAGAGATTGTCAATTGTATCATCCACCGTCGGTGGTGAGGAAGAAAGGGAAGCACGCAGAAGTATGGGCACACTAGGTGAGATGCTTACCATTCCAGAAGTCAAGAAAGACCAAGAAGTGTTTGGGGGAGTCACATTGGAGAACCCATCACCTGAGATGGATTCCGAAGAACCGTTCTTGTGTTTGCCACGGTCTCGATCTGTTCCGATTTCTTTGTCTTTTGGAGGCACTGAGCTAAATGGAGTAGCGACCGGTTGTCAGGAAGCCGAGAAGGAAAAGAACAGGAAGTCATTATCATTTAGGGAAAAGGTTTCCAGTCTGTTCTCTAAAAATAGGAAAGTGGCTCGGGGGAAGCTAGATCCATCTGGAATTCCATCAACTGATGATAGACTCAAGCATGGAAATTCTGCTACTGTTAATGATTTCAGCGAAAACGCTGATCATTCTGCACTGGACAATCCGCTTAACTGTACTATACAGAATGTCGATGATATTTCTATGCCAAGGCTCATGGCTAGTTCTTGGCACATGAATGATATGGAAAACATGCCTGCCAAGGTATTGAGCATGTTATGCTCTGCTCAAACTTACTTTACCGATTTTATAAAAAAAAAAGGCTTGTATATGTTTGTGCCCTTTCTTCTATAGTCATCCAAAGTTCAAAATATGAAATTTTGGCTCTATTTTGTCAGGATATTTCTTCCATCCCGGTTATTGGTGCCCCAGGAATCTTTGGTGAGTCACAGGACCAACCAAGTCCTGTGTCTGTACTAGATGGACCATTTCTCTCCGATAACAGCAGGAGCTTGCTGTGCTCATCTGAAAGTTTCATCACCGCATCCCCACGTAAGCTGAAAACCCTTTTCATCCAACTATGAAATATAAACAGTTCTTCGTAATATATATGTAAATGACATCTGGGTGTGTGTGTGCAGAAGCTTTGTCGAGATCTCCACTTATCGGATCATTTTCACGCTCACTTTCATGGGAAGATCCCCCACTGGAAGTCATGTCGCCAAATTCCTTGAGACTATCAAGGCTTTTCTCTAAGGCTGACGAAGATCAAGACTCATTGACATTTATCCAGAAGTTAGTCTGCTCTGCTGGCATAGATAGAGAAGGTTGCATGTTATCCGGTCCTTTGGAACTGTATTTGCTTGAGAAGTTCTCAGATTACCAAGAAGAGGGAACCAAATTACGGGAAAGGCGGTCGAAAGAGAAGTTTCTATTCGATGCTGTCAATGAGGCACTCACAGAGCTCACTTGGACTGCAGAACTGATGGCGTATCCATTGGGAAGGTCATCTTCTTTGGAACGCAAAGATTGTGAGAATGCTTTCAGTAACTCGGCAGCTGATGAAATTTGGCGAGTCATAAGGAACTGGTCGATTCTTGACAAGTATCCACCCGGAGAAACTATTGAAAGAAACCTCCTGGTGGAAATGATACTGAAGAGAGAGGTGTTGGAGGCGGCCAGCAGCGACACGACACGATTGGAGACATTCGAGCTCACCAGTATGGTCTGTACAATGGTCTTGGAGGACCTGATTGCAGATGCAGTTGTAGATCTGAGTGCCTGACTAACAACTAGCGAGGTACCTCCACTTTTCTAACCACTAATTTTGCTTATGCCTCCTAACATTGCTGTTTCACGCGATACTTGCTGCTGTAACACTGCTTCATTCATTCACATCACCACAGAAATGCATGTGATGCCAAATGTGCCTTTTGCCTAATATATGTCCTTTATTCTTTCTTTTCTTTTATTTCCTTTTCTATTTTGAGAGGGCCTTTCTTCATTCTGATGTAGAAGTGTGCTGTAAATAGCTTGGCCTGCTTGAAAAATACATTTTGTCAGTATTGTTGATATCCTTTTAATCCACGAACAACACGAGACAAAATAATTGATTCCATTCGTCTCTAGTGAGCTGTTGGTGTTGCTTTGCTTGTGGTCAGTGTTGTCTCATTCGAGATTGAAAAGTAGCCTACAAACCAACAGAGTGTAATATATTAATTGCTTCATTTGTTATCACCCTGACCAATGTATGATCTGATCCATGAGACAAAAAAATCCCCAGCATGTCATGTGTTCACGAGTGTCACAGGGCAACGTAACCTTTGCTATGTTGCATGTCAACTGTGATTTATATAATGTTTAATACACTTTGTTTACTTCAATCATAGTGCTTATAGCCTACCGGTCTCAACAGTAAGACAAATGTTGATTGGTCATTGCCCATTGGCATGTTAATGGTGAATCAATCAGACAGACAGCCAACTTTGTTAATGGTGAATCAGACAGACAGCCACTGTCTTCTCCGTGATAATAGCATATTTTGGGTTTTGCTAAAAAAAACATAGAAAAATTCACTGGAGAATCTCTTGGTGTCACATATCGAAGTTACAAGTGGGAACTACTACTAGTTTTCATTGAACCTGAAACAACGGCATGAAACATGGATTCATGGTGCATTGTGCAACTCTAGCTTATATAATTTTGACCCCATGTTGGTTGCTGCAAACTGAAGAATCCATGTTGGTTGCTGGTGTTCATACTGCCTGATTGAGTAGTGGATTAGGGGATTGTGGTGGCTGAGTGGTGTCCCTGTCCATTGGCATGTGGGCTACTGTGGCTTCATGTGGGTGTGTCACTGGGACCCACATGTCAGTGACCAGATACTACTACCTCACAACCACACCAACTGGCACAACTGGAGAGCTGTTGCACTTGCAGGTTTCTGGGGACCTGAAGGAGGAGAGGAGGGCCAAGGATGGTCAGTTCACCCCTGTTCATCTTTTTTTCACAGGCCAAAGCATGTGAAATTTCTGGAGCATCCTGCTGTGTAATTTCAGCATCCTGATGGCTGCTTTGCAAGTTGCCACTGCTGCTCATGCTCAGCTCGACACAGGCTCTCTTATTTTTAGGGAGTGTCATGGCAACTGTTGTTTACATTGTCTCTCTTCAGTACTTCAATAAATGAAAAGGATGAGAAATAGTTTTTTACTACTATGCTACTACATGGGAAAGTAGTTTCAGTGGGTAAAAAGTTCTGATCTTTTCTTCTGGCTTTCTGCCTCTCTGGTCCTTGTGGTGTTTGTTGCAACGCTCCACTTTTCTGAACTCTCCTCCTACTAAACAACAGATTTTACTCCATGTGTGGCTGTGCAAAGCAGTAATAGAAAAAAAAAAGGTGTACCCGTTGTCCGAATTCGTAGGTAGTAGAAGTTAATTGTTTCAAAGGACGGAAGGTGTTATACATAAAAGTTAATTCTTTTTCTGACGGAGGAGGGCGTACTCTCTCCATACAAAAACATAGTACTGATGAGACTTTTTCTAGTGTTCCTGTACTCGAAAAAGTTTCATCCAATACTTAGAGGCTGAGTTCAGTGTTGTTAATTAACGTGTGATTAATTAAGTATTAGTAAAAAATTAAAATAGATTAATATAATTTTTAAAGCAATTTTTCTGTAATTTTTTTATAAAATATGTACCATTTAACAGTAGTTTAAAAAGAGTGCACCTAAAAAATGTACCGTTTTGAGAGGTATAGCACAGTTTTTTTTTAAATGAAGGTATGCAATCGCAAACCTGTGGGCGCCTGCATTATGAGATCCTTGCTTGCAAATCTGCCAGTCGAAATTAATGCCTGGGGCAAACCTTGTTTATGATATGATGAACTTGTGAAGTTGTGAACAGTGCTGGGCGCAGTGTCATTAAGCTGTGAACTGTTTGTAGTGTGAGGAAATAGCGTGTACTCAGTACTCACTTACCGGCCTAGCTAAAGAGAAGAAGAAGCCGTTGGGATAGGGTTAGTTCACAATTCATTTATTAGGGCTCAACGGTTTCTGCTTTTTCTGAAGTGAAAAAGAGCTGCCTTTTTGTGATCTGTGGTGGTCTCTGCTTGTGCAGCTTGGCCTGTTCATCATCGCTGCCATTGGTGGCCTTGTGTTCTTCACGACCTTTAATATAGGAGTAGGAGTACTATGTGATCTGCTTTTTAGTTTTCCTTTGGGTAATTCATTGGCTACCTTTGCAGGACACTCGTGGAGTGATGATTGTGTGTGCAGTTCAAGTTGCACATACTCTAGGTTCTGAATAAATTTAGTAATTAATATACTTTGGTTCAGATTTTCAGACAAGTTTTCAAAATGAAACCGCTCAGTATACAATCCTGAATTTTCACTGAATTCTGACGCCGATTTTGTGGAAGTTTAGAGATGCAAAGTAAAGTTTTTTTTCCACTGAAGTCTGACGCCGATTTGGTGAAACTTTAGGGATGTAAGTAAAGTTCTTTTCCCACTGAAATCTGACGACGATTTGGTGAAAGTTTAGGGATGTAAAGTAAAGTTTCTTTTTTTCCAACGAGAAAGATGAAGGTAGCCTTTGCAGGTCAATGCAACAAAGGTTCACACTTTCACAGCCAAACTGGTTCTCATCTCGTTTAGAACTTGTTCAGTTTATAGATATTCTAATCCATAGAAATTGAAAAGGTAAATACACTTCAATCCTACAGGATTTTTCTAAAGGTCCGATTGGATGTAAAATTTTCAGCCTCTCCTGTACGACAGTTAGGAATGAAAAAATTAGTTTGTTTTTTATATTTTATTCCTCCAAACCGAATGGTAAAATTCACCCTTCGTTTTTAAATGTAAACTGAAAAAGCCCTTAGACTTTAGACGTGTACAGCTTTCACGGCCACGTGTCACACGACAGCGTGGGGCTCGCGCTTAGCTTTAGCTCGTACTTGCATACGTGTAAGTGATTAAGTAGTATAAGTACAAGTCATGTGCCTATCAGTAAGTACAGTACAGTATATTATACCGCATGCATATGCATGCACATACTCCCAGTAATCACGCCGATAATCTTCAGAGAGAAACAATTGCTGCGAGATAAACTAACTTGCAGCAGACAGTAACATATAGTACTAGTGCTAGTAAATTCATAATTTACACTTTGCACATGCAGTGAGTGAAATCAGAGAGCCTGCAGCAACATTAATCAAGCTCTGCATGTATGCCCGAAAGAAGCGGATCTATCAACCTATCAGAAAGGAAGAGTGCAATCCAGCAGCAGAAGCAGCAGGCAATCGATCGATCAGTATTTATTCATTCATTCATTCCAGTTCCCCTTCAATTCAGTTACTAACAGAGAAGCTTGATCCATGCATGCACAACCAGTAGTCCTAGCTTGCATTCAATTGAATCATGCATGGCTGCATGCCATTCAATTCAGTTCAGCCAAATACTGAACTAACCAAGGAGAAGAGGCCAATGCCTACAGACAACAACACCAAACTATGAATCATACTAGCAGCAGCTTGATCTATCTAGTATAATTGTGCAATCTCTCACCTTATCTGCTTCAATCCAGAAGTTCAGATCTCTGAGTGGTCCATCGATTGCATTTGCATCCCTCAGCCAGCACCCTCATACATACTGCATATGTTTGATTTAGATATTTAGATAAGTGAATGGATTATTGATGCGGATTATCTACTTATTATAGGAATTAATTAAATATTTTGATAAATATACTTAACAAATAATTTAAAACAGGTGGTCAAACACAATGCAGTTGAATAATTTTTTTTTTAGAAATCACATTGTTTTTAAGAAAACGTAAAACAAATAAGTGGTTCTAATAATCCGATGAATAAGCTGGAAAAAAAAACAGAGCCGACACTACTGGCCCATGTCTGGATACACACATGTACAAAAACACATAGATACACGCACAAATACAGTATTAGTACAGCACTATGCACATATACCGCTAGACAAGGCAGCTTTTGTGCCAAGGCAAATTTGCTGTCCTGTCCATGGCATCCAACTGGTCCAAACCTGCATGCAGATCAAACAGGATTAGTATTCAGGACCAGCTTGGGAAAAAGCAAGCAAGTAGCAAGATGTACACAAACATGCAGAGATCTAGTACAAACATAATAACATATACTGAGAGTGAGAGTACATACATGATGTTGCCAGGGCACTGCAGCAAATTAAGAACTCATCAACAAGCCATTGCACAATGATAGCCAGAGCTTAGCTAACTATAGATGATGAGACGAACAAGTGCATGTTATGCAGTAGTAGTATAGTATTTGCATGGATGCGCCCACACACATGCGACCACATCAATCGCTACCGATCAGTTAATGACAGCGTTAGATGTGTCCATGGATGATGAGGTCAAGCTGCAAACTGAACTGGATTTATTGCTTACATGTATATGTTTCTTTCATGCTTTGGCTTGGATTTTGATTTGATTCATATGTACTTCTCCTGCTACTGCAACAAGCTTGCAATGGTGAAAGTGAAACTCTCCTGGATGCATCAGGAAAGGGCAAAAGCCCAAGATAAATCGCTCTGCTTTTGAGTTGGTGTCACCATTAAGGTTGGCAGGATTCAGGAAAGTAACATGAGTGGTTGAGATGAATCTTAACCATGTACTGTACTATCTCAAGAACTTTGAGGACGATGCATGATTGATAATTAAAAAAAAAACTAAAGACTCCATTAATTCAACACACAACAAACTCACTCCTGCAAACCAAGTGAAGAAACAAAGTTCCTTCTCGCTTCAACTTATACAAGTACCCTAGTTGCGGTTGTTTACAATGTAGCAGCTGTTGTAACGAAGAGTTTGTATATTATATATTTCAGTTCTGCTCGAAAGAAGAAACAGCAGAGCTTCTGCTATTCGCTAGAGAGAGAATAAAAACGGCTTTTTATCAGGTTGGAACTGTCCTACAAGGTGCATTGTTAGCTTGTCATTAGTCGCGTTTTAGCACACAGAATGGATACCATAGCACTAGCAGCAGGATAGATGCATATGTATGGTCCATGCATGTTGATTGGTGTCTGTGAGTGAGTAACTCTGCTGCTTTTTCTCAATTGACTGCTTTGCTGCACAAAGGACCACACACAGAACTCTTGCAAGTTGCAACTACCATTCACGAGTCAAACTTGCTTAAGACTCTTGTAGAAATGTAGTTAATTACAACTACCAGTAGCAATGCATTTCTTTTTTTTCTTTGCACACACAATGCAAGTTGCATTGATACAGTCATACAGCTCAGGATTCAGAGTTTCCTCTAGCAACATATGGAGTAGTACTAGCCTAATATATCGAGTACTAGCTTTTTTTTTCTCTAATTGTTCATCGATTTTTGCTCGCAAATACTGTACCAGTTCGAAGTTTTCGCATGCACCAACCAATCAATCGAAACAACAGGTCGAAGAAAAAAAGAATCGGGGAGGGCGGCGATCGAGTACCGGAGGCTGACCCCGGAAGGGGCGGGGAGGGGAGGGCGGCAGCGGCGCCGGTAGGAGACGCCGGCGAGGAGGAAGCCATCGGCGACGGCGTGACGGCGGGCGGCGGCGGGAGGGAGGGTAGAGGTAGAGCGAGCCGATGAGGCAATCCAATTATTTGGGCCGTCATTAGTCCAAGCTTTCACCAACAGTTGGGCCTCAGACGAAGACAAATTGGCCAGTTGTTAGTAAAGTATAGCTAGAATAAGTCTACTATGACTCCCTCCTTTATTGCTCCTGATTGAGGGTGTGTTCGCTACTAGAGCTTCCCGCGCCAAAAACGGAGCGGTCTATTAGCACGTGATTATTAAGTATTAGCTAATTTTTTTAAAAAAATGGAACAATATGATTTTTTTAAGCAACTTTCATATAAAAACTTTTTGTAAAAAAACACACCGTTTAGTAGTTTGAAAAACGTGTGCGCGGAAAACGAGAGGGAAAAGTTGGAACCGGCAGTGCCGAACACACCCTGAATTGTCTTCCCAACTGCAAAACCTGTCTCAGTGAGTCGACCAGAGTCAACCTGTCACGTCAGCAGAAACCGCTTCATAAGGAGATCGTCTTTCGAAGATGTAGGAGCTGCTATAAACTGTTTTTTAGTTGAGGGAGGCAAAATAGACTTATTGCAATAAAGCTTGAGGAAGCCCATTGAGGCCCAACTGAAGCCCATAGGAACTCGCCCGGTGTGCTGCAGCCTGCAGCCGCCGCCGTCAGGTCTCGCCTCCGCCGCACTCTCCTCTCTGTCTCCGCCGATCTGCTCTGCCGCGACGCGCCGCCGGCGAGAAGGGACGGCCTCCTCTCCTTCCCGACCCCGCGCGAGCATCCAGTTTCGAGGTATTCCTCCTCGTTCTTCTCTGGTTGGATCGATGCGCCTGCGTGGCGTAGTTGGGGGATTCATCCGGACTAACTGATTTCTTTCCCCTCCAATTGGCGCATCCAGTTTCTTCTGGATTTCTAGGATGGCGACTCTGAGGAACCTGAAGATCAAGACGTCGACCTGCAAGAGGATCGTCAAGGAGCTCCGCTCCTACGAGAAGGAGGTGGAGAAGGAGGCGGCCAAGACTGCTGACATGAAGGAGAAAGGCGCCGACCCCTACGATCTCAAGCAACAGGTGAAGAAGATCTTTGTGCTTGCAATTGCAAGCCTTTTTCCCCCCTTTACTAACCTGCCTGTTAATTTGTCTGCATTATTCTGGTAGTAAATTGCAAGTGCAGTACTGTTAGGGAGTAGTACATATGCCGTGTATTGTGATTAAAAGAAGAATCTTATACTAGTATTTATCAAGGGCTTTTTGTTTCTCTTGTGAATGGTTGCTCCTCTTGTTGCTTCGTTATTAGTTGTGCTTCAATTAATCAGCAGTTCATCAAAATGATTAGGCAAAAGAAGTATCTAAGCCTTGTTAACAGTCTGGTTTATCCTTTTGTGTTTGTCAGTTTTGCATACATGTTGCCAAGAAGTGTTCTTAGTGCAATTATATCGCATTGATGTAATTGACTGAGATCAATGAAAACTTCCATTATCTAAAAAATATACATGTTTTTATCATCCATTCCACAATGGTTGTGGCATAGTGATTTCTGCATTATTTATGGTTGGAATCTATGGTGTCAAGTTATGCTTCGGTTGCATATTCCCGTGCCACTAATTCTAATAATTAACTTAATGGTTTGGCTTCAAGCTTTTCCGTATATATCAATAATGCAATATACCATGACTCACTGAACAAGTCAGTTGTTGGTTGTAATTTTGGCTTCTGGTTTTGTCCAATGACTTAGATTTATAACAATCTTATTCTAGTCCATTTACCCAGTAGAGAATAATTTCTTCCTTAAAAATGCATTTTTGAGATGTTTTGATTGGGCAGTCTATGTAATCATAGCAACACAGCATATGGATGGACATTGTTATAAACAGGGTTGTGCATTAAATGAACATGTGGCGGATGCATTCTTCAGAGTGCTACCATGTTCTCTGACAATCACATTATACAGAGTTTTACATATAGGTGTTGCAAGGCTTGTTTAAGACATCACAGTTCATATATGTCTGAAGAGCTCTAAATTTGATTTGATTTTTTTTTTTTTTTTTGTGTGTGTGTGTGTGTGTGTGTGTGTGTGTGTGTGTGTGTGAAAATGAGATTGGGAAGACTGTTGCTCAGTTCGTTGCAACTACATTTCTTTTTGAAGGAGCAAAGCTGATTATTGGTGGCGCTACATCTCTTCCAAGTTGCAATTCAATGTGGAACCCTTTGAACTTTATGTTAATGTCATTTACGCCTGCAGGAGAATGTTTTAGCCGAGTCAAGGATGATGGTCCCAGACTGCCATAAGCGACTTGAAACTGCACTGGCAGACTTGAAAGCAACTCTGGTATCGTATGAATTTTTTTCTGGCGACATTTAAATTCTGCATATCCTCTTCTTCAGTAACCACAACCATTGTTCTATTGCAGGCTGAATTGAAGGAATCAAATGAACAAGGTGCTGAGATTGGAGAGGCTGAGAGTACAATCACAGAAGTTGAAGCTGTCGTCAAGCCAACAGAAGATTGAATTCGTTTTTTATGAAATCCCTGCAAACCTCTGTTCTGTTGGGGCCATAGTAGCTCAACTAGTATTATGATGTTTGCTGTGAATTCATGTATCCATTTTGTGGTTCCTGAGCCCTAACTTGGAAGATCTGGCACTGAACCATCCTTACTTTATGTGCTTGCTTGTTCTTCCTGAAGTACACAGTTAAGCATGGTTGTGTCCACTTGCCTGCTTCTTCTTCCTCCTTTTCTTTGAGATTATTGTTAGAAAGTATTGGTTCGAGCCTTCGAAGGGCTTGGGAGAATGCGCTTAATCGTTTTTAAGTAATCAAGAGTTTTCATCAGCAAAGTCATAGAATTGCTATATAAACATTGGTTAATTTGCATATACAAGTGATACTCCGTTCTGACGAAAACGCTAACAAAAAAAGGGTTAAATTAGCAACTTGATCCATGTACGCACAATGAAACTGCAGGCTCTGTAGTCTCCATTAACACTGGAAAATTGCTAGTTAAAAATTGGTTAAATCTGCGTATATGTGTATAATTTCTATACAACGTTTAGCTGTACAATCTTCTATGAGTTCTATCATCATTTGTGATGTATTGTTTGCAAAAAAGGGAGAAATAACTGTTTGCAATCTCCCGTCGGAAGTAAGAAAAATCACTTCACAAAAATGCCTCCCGGATCAACCGTGCAAATACTCGCGATGACAACCGGCTCATGACCTCTGGTAGGATCTTCGACGAAATGCTCGGCAACACAGGTAGAAGCTCTTGTACAAGATACACAACATTTACATCCTGGCATCAACCCAAAGACAAAAAATCAGTAATCTTTAGATGTTCGATTTGTGGAGTGTTTCATTCAGTAAGACAAAAAAATCAGTAATCTTTAGATGTTCGATTTGCGGAGTGTTTCATTCAGTATACATACCCCATCAATTGTTGTTGGATTGTTCCCAGCTGTCAAAAACTTCACAACCTTCTCAACATTGTTCAAGATGACCCTGTCTTCCTCTGTGATTGTAGGAAGCAGTGCTCTAGCTCTGACAGGAACCATGCTGAAAACTGGGGTAGCATTTCCTAGCCCAAAAGATGCAGCAATTTGTATCAGTTGCTCCCTTGAAACTGCATCTATGGCTTTGACAATCTGCAATGCAGAGAACAAGAGGTCTCAATATGGAAGGCACTGGATTATCTTAAACAACATTCCCTGCAACATGCAAATTACTGTTGTTTGGTTTAAACAAAATACAAAAATGCTGCAACATGAGAGCTCACCTCATCAAGAATGAACTCCCTAAAAAAGTCGCCCCTCTCAGAGAGTAGAAAAGAAAGAGCAGCCCGAGCTTTGACTGGTTGCTCAGGCTGTGATATGGCCATTGGAAATGCAGGAACTAAACTTGTGCTTGGTAGAGTTCCTATCTCAGCCAGCTCAGCCATGCTGCCTTTCAAGTTCTCCCCACCACCACTCTTTGCTGCACGAATAAAATTCTCGAAAGCTTGCATGACATCAATGAATCTTTCTGCGTCGAATACACCTGTTTTGCCATATATTGTGTATCGCAAGGCGCTCCTTAGACGAGGTGACTCATCTGTTAGTAGTCTCTGCGATCGTCGAAAAAAATCAGAATCAATAATACAATAACATCAAAATCAACCTTCGATCCCAACAGACCAAAGAAAGAAGGAATATGCAAATCCTAGTATATATCTGCTTGCCTTTGTAGTTGTGTTATTCTAAGAAATGCAGCATGGAGTTGAATCAAATTCTAACCTGCGCAATATATGGGTATGCTTCATCCACAATGGCAAATTCAGGGTCACCCACCAAAGCTATACCCTCCAATACTCCAATGGCTCTGATAATCAAAGCAAAGTACGGAGGTATCCTGAATGGGTAATCAAATGTTATCTGTGCTAGATCTGCTGCTAACTCTTGAAAGTTTATATTCTTTGCGCCACCTCCTTCAAGTGCTTGATCAAAAACTTTGGCCAATACAGGCAAGATTGGGTCCAAGTTAACTCCCTCAGGGATGAAACCAAGCTTCACAAAGTCCTTGACTATCGCATCATAATCACGATGAATGAGGTGGGCTATTGCTTCAATCATTCCGTACTTTTGGTCATCTGTCAATTTAGTTACAAGCCCTACAAAAAGGAGGATATATTTCTTTCATCAGCATCAAAGGAGATGGAAACAAAACGAAGAAAAAATAGGTGGACCCAAAGGACAGTACAAAACAAGTGTATTCTTAGTCCTTTTTCCCTCCTTCAAATTGAAGAAGAGTATTTCCACGTAATGCTGACATTACCACTGAATAGATATTTAACTAAATAATAATGGACCATGGTTTACTGACTCCGCTCAGCCTTTCCTTTTTTATGGACTCGCATGCAAACTAACTAGTATAACTTTTGTCTTTTATATGAGAACCAAAGAAAAATAACAGAGCTGTGTGTGAGAAGTATTATCCATAATGTTGACTCACCAAAATCAAGAATAGCTAGTTTTCCATCTGGTGTCCTAATCATATTGCCAGGATGTGGATCAGCATGGAAAAATCCAGTATCAAGCAACTGCCAGAGAAACATAAAACGAGCCCAAGAAAATTGAAGTGATGTCTTGCGCAAATAAAGGTACTTCCATTCAACAAGCATATGCTACATTGACCAATGATTAAACAAAATGAGCTAACCTGTTTTAGGTAGCATATGACTCCTACACTGACCAATGACCCAACATCATCCTCTGTACTTTGTGACAGCTTCTCCCCATCTATCCATTGTGTAGTAAGAACTTTTCTAGATGTGTATTTCTGGTATGTCTTTGGTACAACGACCTGGAAGATTGTTAGATAAAATCATAAGTAGCTTGACAGTAAAACAAGCATGTATGTGTTGTAATAACATGGAATTAAGACAAAACAGATAACTCCAACAGTAAACAGATTTATCACTCGATATGGACACTAGAATAATTACCTGCGGAAGATCCTTTTTCATCATTTCAGCAAAGCGATTGCCATTTTCTCCTTCATTCACATAATCAAGTTCTTCGAAAAATCGAGCAGCCCACTCATCTACTAGGCCAACAACATCAATGGAGACCTAACAGTATTCAGTTATGGTTCAAAGGTGAGCTTTCAAATATAGTCTGGGCATCAGTTTTGACCAAGTAGAAGAAAATATTTACCTGCGGAAATCTCCTTAGTACCAGGCCCAAGTTTCTAATGATGAATAAATCAATTGTGACAGTTTCAAGTACAAACGGCCTCTGTACTTTCACAGCTACAAGTTCTCCGGTTTCTTTCAAGCGGCCCTTGTAAACCTGCCCCAGAGATGCTGCAAGATAATTCATAAGCATAGTCCAAGAACAGTGAGTATAATTTGATGCAATATAATTTCATCTGATAATGGTTTAATCATAAATGGTAAGTGCAGCACGCGGGCAATATTTAGTACAAGTACCGGCAGCAATTGGGGAAGGAGATAATTCAGAGTATATTTCGTGCCACGGCCGCCCAAGCTCTTCTTCAAGAAGAGTCATTGCAAGATCATCGGAGAACGAAGGAACCTTCACATAGCGGTAGATCAACCAGTTAGCAAATTTATAGCTCTCCTGGCACTTCTATGCTTTGTGAGATAGCAAGGGGAGAACACAGTAAGACAAACACAGAAATATTTACCTTATCACAAAGTTTCTGCAATTCAGTCATTGCTGCAGGGGACAGAATATCTGGTCGAATACTTAGTGCTTGGCCAAGCTTAATATAAGCAGGACCCAAAGATGTCACAATTTCCCTCAGCTCAATCGCACGCGCTACTTCATTCTATTGATAAGCATTGATCCACCCCCAAAAGGAAATGTTCTTTATCAGTTAGCAATTGGATTTAGACGATTCAAGATGAAAACAACAAGGTGGATATAGTAAATCAATAATTGGTACCTCCTTGAGCTTGTTGTTTATGAGGTCTGATATGAGATGAGAGATGAAACCACCAGCAACAGACAGCAATTGCACGATCCGTGTGGCGACGGCCCTCGGGCGCTTCCCCCAGTATGCAGAAATGATCTCAGGACTGTACACGAGAGGCAGCGCCTCATTGTTGTTCATGGATGAAACCTAGAGCCAAGAAAAGGGGGAAATGAAAATTTTGTTCTTCTATTAGACCTTAGTTGAAATAAACTGTTAATTAACGTGATGATTGAATTGTGTGGTTGGTGGGGCGGACCTCGACGAGGCGGAGGCGGACGTTGTCGTCGGCGAATTGGGAGTCGCGGAGGTTCTGGCCGCGGAGGCCGCGCATGAGCGTGGCGAGCTGCTCGTCCTCCTCCATCTGCTTCCGCACTCGCTGGATCTCCTTGGACACCTCCCCGAACCGCTTCAATCGCAAACACACAAACCACACCAACACAATCTCCACAATCTCAGCGAGATGAAACAGGTGTAAGAACACGGAAGATCTGACTGATTGAGCAGAGAGGCGATCGGTCTTACGGTGGAGGAGATGTCATTAGGGGTCCTCGTCCTCGACCTGGAGCGAGGCGCCGGGGCGGAGGCGGAGGGCTTGGGCTCCGTGGCGACGGCGAGGACGCGGCGGGATGGGCGCCGGCGCCGACGGCCCGGCAGCGACGCCGCGAGACCAGGCAGACGGCCGAAGCCACCGCAGTGCAGCAGGTGCGGCGCCGCCGACGCCGCCGCCGCCGCGGCCTCCATGGGCAAGAAGAAGAAGGAAGAAGCTTAGCTTCTTCGGCGAAGACCCCGAGGCGGAGGAGGAGGATGAATTTGCCGCGCAATAATCTTCCCTTGCAGTGCAGTGCTCTAGTTGTAGCAGTAAACGCGGGAGGCGCCGGAGCCGGAGTTGGACTGGAGTGTGGAGTGAGATGGCTGGCTGGCGCGCGGCCACGTGGCGTCACCGCGGGCACACGAGGTTCGTGTGCGCGGGAGGCGCGGACGCATGGGCGGCGCGAGAGCGGCCACCCCCACCAAAACCGGTGAGGAGAGGACGAAGCGCGATGTGTCCGCTTTGGATTCGACCACCCAGATTCCCACCACCTCAGGTAAAATGCCAATGCACCCAATAATGCTAGCACAGCTCTAGTGATTAGTGATTCCTATCTCCGGCCCATTCCATAAAAAATGAATTTAGCATAGAATATTATCGGAGAGTGAACTCCTCCACCAAGAAACCGTGAGGCCCCCATTTGTGAGTTCGGTCAGGGGCAGCGGGTGAGATTTGAGGGCTTGGTGAGCGGAACTTTGTGATCTTGAGGGTGTTAGGCCCCTCCAAGACGATGAGACAAAAGAGGTTTATACAGGTTCGGGCCGCTGAGAAGCGTAATACCCTACTCCTATGCATGATTGATTGAATGTAGAACACAAGTGCTTGGAGTTGCGAGACCCAAGCGCCAGTTCGCTCGGAAGTCCCCCCCCCCCCCAACTAGGCCTGGACCTCCTTTTATACCTCAAGGGGTTACCACATGGGCCCAACAACCTAACCTAACTCCGGTGGAGAAGTATTATAATCTTTGCATTAAATGCATGTCTTGTCTCTTGACTTGGGAAGCCAAGCACACGTCGTCTTGATGATGGGGCCTGTCAAATCTTGCCGCCTGACACGCAAGCAGCGCACAGGCGCACTACCCAGTCCCATCGGTCATTCGACCGGTCACAGACTGGTTGAGTATACTGCACGCCGCATTTGGCGCGACCGCTCGGGTCGCCATAAATGCGGGTAGGTGGGCACCTGTAGGCGGACACCTAACCCACCGTATGCGGTGACCTAGAGAGGGGGTCGGGGGGAGCCCAACCCCTAGTCACGGGAGGGGGTCGCCGCTGCCCGACCTTGGGCCCGATCCCCCCTTGGGGGAGGGCCACGTGGCGCTTGGGGCAGCCTTCTCCTTCTAGTCTCGGCCAGGGAGTGGCCGCCGCCCTACCTCGGGCCCGACCCCCCTCGGGGGAGGGCCACGTGGCATTGGAGGGCAGCCTCCTCCATCTAGTCTCTGGGAAGGAGTGGCCACCGTCCTACCTCGGGCCTGACTCCCCTCGGGGGAGGGCCACGTGGCATCGGGGGGCAGCCTCCTCCGACTAGTCTTTGGGGAAGGAGTGGCCGCCACCCCACCTCGGGCCTGACTCCCCTCAGGGGAGGGCCACGTGGCATCGGGGGGCAGCCTCCTCCGACTAGTCTTTGGGGAAGGAGTGGCCGCCACCCCACCTCGGGCCTGACTCCCCTCGGGGGAGGGCCACGTGGCATCGGGGGGCAGCCTCCTCCGACTAGTCTTTAGGGAAGGAGTGGCCGCCACCCCACCTCGGGCCTAACTCCCCTCGGGGGAGGGCCACGTGGCATCGGGGGAGGAGGCCTCCCTCTAAACCTGATACCCCCGGGCCCATATCATCGACAAATGTGATACATTACAGTATTATGAATCTAGACAGATATATATCCGAATTCATAAACTATGATATGTCATATCCTGTAGAAGGTTGATTTTCTATGGGACGGAGAGAGTAGTGCGCAATGCAATCATCTTTTCACGCTTATACTGATGGTAAGATGTGGAGTAACGGCTTATTACTAGCAACTTAAAAATTTGATAATTTACAAATATAATTTTTATATGTGTTCTTAATAATAATGTAAATTATAATAAAAAAAACCATTAAAATTAACTCTAAATTTAAGTTTTCATATTTAAATTTTAGCTTTTAGCTTATAAGCTTGAGGTAAACAATGGGAGTGCAATTCTTTACCGCAAATGGTTCAACGGACAGATATCACAAGTCACAATAGTAAGCACGAAAACAAGAAAGAGTGGTCGAAAAAGATGAGCTTTAATTTTTTTTTCTACCCAGTTGGTCTTTTACTAGAGAAACAGAAGAATAAAAAATGGATCTAGACAACAACAACAACACGATGTACAAGAAATTTTACAGACACCAGGAGACCACCCCACGTACAGCAGCAGCTCCAGGACACCCCCAAAGGTGATGTGCAGCAATAGCTACCTCCCAATTCATCGCGTTTTCGCAGCTGATGAGGTCCCGTTCTTTTCAATCGCCCGCTGCCTCGCACGCTCCATCTTCCGTTTGCGCCATTCCTCAAGAGCTGCAGATGTTTACACAAAATGGTAAAAGAAAAAAATTAGCATCAGCTTCTACATATTACCGAGGGAGGTAGAAGAGCAAAACGCTGCTCCAGCAAGCATGCAAAATAAACCGTTGTGTACAGACCAAATCACACTGCTATTGCATAATGGTATATTACCAATTGCTAGCATATGTATATATATGTACACCTGATGACTTCAGGATATGATTTGCTATGATCATTTTGTGTCTCTGCATCAACTGGCAGGATAGAATGGAATGGTGGTGAAATCACAATAGCTTGGTATTGCAAGCAGTTGTTTCATTCTTTCAGCTTTTCTTTTCAGCCCTGTCCTGAAGCTCTCTGATCTATAGCCCATCCAACTGTATTATTGAACTGTTCGGTTTAACTGTGCAACTGGTCTTTTTTTTCTTTCCATGAAATATATACTGTCAAATACTCGCAGCACAAGCCACAACTAAAGGGCCACATATTGACAGCAATATGATGGTAGTACTACAAAGATGTAACTGTCACAAGACTCACAACCATGTTTGCAAGCATCTAACTTCATTTTGTTCACATCATATGCTCCTCGGATCCGAACAGACATAGTACAGAAGATAAACTGAAAGAACAATGCAGCCCCAAAATATGAGGAGTGGTAAGAAACCAAGAATGAATTTACGAACCTTTTTGGCTGCTACCATCATTCCCTGCCCTTAAATCTTGCAACCTTTTTGATGCATCAACAGCAGCTGTCTGCTTGGCATCTTCTTGTGTCATCATGCCATGCTCACCATAAGCTTCTTGTTCGATTTCCTTCACCTATGTAGCAGAAATAGCGAAGTTCTAACTTTGATTAGCATCCCAATGAATTCTCTTTCAACCAAATCACGAGAAACACAATATACAATATACAGTGACTTACTCTCCTGATCAAATCCACAGGCTCCATAGCACGACGTAACTCTTCCGACTCCCATATAAACCGTAGCTGAGCTGCGGAATTGTAGCACGGGATCTTTCACTGAATTGAGTATATAACAGGACTGATCTCACATGATATAAAGGAAAAACTAGAATTTGTACTAAACGAAGAATGGTTGATCCCATTCTATAGGTTTTGAGCGCAGCTTATAGTGCTGTTCTCTACATTTGGGGTTTCCCCATATGCTCAGAGCTCATGAGGTATTTCGATTGGAAAAAAAAAGAGTGATTTTTGTCAGCTGCTCGGATTCGTAAAGAAATTCCCTGCATTTCCTGTGGCGTGGTGTTAGCAGAAGCCCTTGTCCACATTTAATCAGAAGAAAAGACCTGAACTTTGCTAGTCAGTCTAGATCCAATTCACTAACCAGTTTATCGTACTATCATTTGGGTACCAAATCGAACAAATTTCTAGGCCCAAATCATCTAACGAGAGATAGATTGTTCAATGAGAGTGAAATGAACAAGAGTACAATGAGTTCGTACCAGAATCGAACTGGTGGTCGCCGGCGATGCGCGGCCAGGACGAGTAGTAGTTGCGGAAGAGGAGAGCGCACGCGAGGAGGTTGATTGCGCACACCGCGACGGTGGCGTTCTTGTACGATATCCTGGAGGAAGCAGAAGCCCCACCCCTCCACGCCCCCTGCCCGTCCATCCCGTCGACTGCGGCCGATGCGGCGGCGCGGCCCGTCGAGCTCGCCGGAGAAGAAGACGAGGAAGAGAAAAGCGGACGCGTCCACCAACCAACACAACTCACTTCCTCACGTAGAATGGTAAATGGGCCTACGGCCCATTAATTAGCCCATAAAGAATAGGCCCATTAATGAGCCCATAAAGAATTGGGCCCAACTACCTCGCGACTAATTGGGCCTCCACTAACACCTAGATTCCAACCCTACCTCGCTTCTCTCACCAGTCACCACCACTTGGCCTTCCTCGTCTCCGGCCTTCCTCCACCGCGAGCTCCGACCACCACCGACGGCGACGATGCAGGCGGCGGCGGCGTGGAGGCGTCACCTCCTCGACGGCAACATCTCCCCCACCACCGCGGCGGCGATCTCCGCCTTCAGATCCGCCTCCCAGCCGGCGCTCGCACCCCAAGGTATGGAGGAGGCGCCCTTCCGGGCGTCCGGGACCAGCCCTGAACATCGCCCGCGGGTGCCCCCCGAGGGTAGATCTTAGAGGTGGTTTGGGTTTTCGATGCAGGATTGGGTGGAGCGGATGGCGCGAGGTACATGTCCGCGAGGGCGCCGGCGGTCAAGGGGACGGGGCATCTCGTCCGCAAGGGAACCGGAGGGAGGTCGTCTGTGAGGTGAGGAGCTCAGGCTGGTTCCGTTCCTCCGATTGATTCTATCGGGCATTCCCGTTGTCACGAGTCTGCGTCTAGGTTTGGCCTTCCCAATGATTTGGTTTAGGTTCATTAGGTTGTGATAATGTTCTGATCCATCCGTACTGTCATAGCAGATATGTGTTCCTTAGAATGGTCTTCCTGATGCTTAGATCGTCAGATTTGTGCAGTTCGTATGGTTGCATTTGCGATGGACCTGTTCTTGTATACTTGTGCATCTCGTGGAATTTGGAGTTACCTGTAACACAGCTAGGCCTTGGAAATTCTGTGCCCTGAAAAAACAGAGAGTCGATTTTAGTTATTATGAGCTGAATTGGAGCTCTGGTTGACAGATATGTGATGTTGTTCTACCAAATGTATTTGATCCTACTTCCCACATTTTTTTGCTAGGTTTGAGAAAATTCATTTGCCATTTGCATAGGGTGTTGAGTGTACGAATTGTGGTACTAATATTTATCTTAAAGAGTGTTACTTGCACATTTGCTGGTGTTTGTTGCATCTTGGGAGCAATGACGATCAAATTAGGTTAATGATACTCTTAACCTGCAAATTTTCCTTTGAATTTATAACAAGAAATTTCGTGACAGTGGAATCATAGCTACGGTGTTTGGAGCTACTGGATTTCTTGGCCGCTACCTTGTCCAACAACTTGGTGAGATGATAAGGCTTTAGACCTATAGTACTACGTTGTAATGAATAATATCTTACTGAGTTATATTACCATAAAAACAAAGTGAAATAGTATGGTAACTCAATTATTTATTTCTATTCAGCAAAGATGGGGTCTCAAGTGCTTGTACCATTCAGAGGTTCTGAGGATTGTCACCGACACCTGAAGTTGATGGGTGACCTGGGTCAGGTACTGTATTTTTGTAGTTCACAAATTACAAGTAGTGAAGTCATTAACTCATTTTTCCTTTTTTTTTCCCTTTTATGTATTCTACTTTTTTCTCTTGGCAGATTGTTCCTATGAAATACAATCCAAGAGATGTGGATTCAATTAAGGCTGTCATGGCCAAATCCAATGTGGTCATTAACCTAATAGGTATGTCTAACTTGGTACAGCATCGTATTCAGAGTCAAATCCCTTCCTGACTATGTCAACTCAATTTCAACAGGACGCGAGTATGAAACAAGAAACTATGGATTTGACGAAGTAAATCATCATATGGCTGAACAACTTGCAATGGTATGCATTGTGCGCACATCCGCTTTTCTTCCAACTATATAGATAATTCCTAATACAATCTTTGAGAATTAGGATTGAATGAAATTCAAAGTAGCAACCAGCTTGATTTCTCAGTGCACTGGCTTGCTTGTGCTCATCCCAAGATTGCAGCAGCATTGACAAGCAACCATTTGGCTGGTTTATTTCACCAGCTATAACTTCAGAGGGTCACATAATCCATGGTTGTGATTAGATTTCAAACTTTTGCCTGCTTAGGTGACCTTGGCTAGGTTTCATCTGACACAATACAAAGCACAATATATTTAAGCACACTGCTCTGCCATCGGTATATAATCCGTCTAGCTGTCCTTTTGGTTAACATTAATCCTTCTTTTTCTTGTTTCAGAAGCCAGTGTTACTTAGCTCCTAGATCTGGAAATGGAAATATCTTACTTTTACATTTTGCATGAAAAGTATCTTTTTCTACTGAGCTGTTAGTCTTTTAATTCAGCATCACAGTTACTGCCTTCAATGTGGAATTACTATTCTCTTTCCTCTAATTTGTGCTGTCCTGGGTAATAACCATGCTCTATAATTTCATTCAATTGGATACCTGTACAAAGGGGAAAAAAATTCACTATCATTTGTAACTTTCTTTTTGCTGCATCATGACAATATAATTCCCATCAAGACTTCTTTTGTGGCTGGCTATTAACTGTGTTATGGACTATGCACAGATTTCAAAGGAGCATGGGGGTATCATGAGATTTATCCAGGTTTCTTCCCTAGGAGCATCGGCCTCTTCTCCTTCTAGAATGCTGAGGGCCAAGGCTGCTGGGGAGGAATCTGTGTTGAAAGAATTTCCTGAGGTGATCATCTACATTAGGCAATACTGAACTCCTGTTTCTACATTACCGAAAGTTAGAAGCAAACATGTCCCATTTATGTTGGCAGTTACTTTAACCAAAATTTTGTTTGCATGGATCAACAGGCTACAATTATGAGGCCTGCAACTATGATTGGCACAGAAGATCGGATTTTGAATAGATGGGCACAGTTTGCCAAAAATTGGGGTTTCCTCCCTCTTGTTGATTCTGGGTCTACAAAGTAATTGAACTTTCCTGTTGGCTGCTGTTGTAATGCCTTGACTTAAAATTTAGTCTAGAACATTAATTGATCAGAGAATACGGGCCTCATCATTTGCCCTATGGCTTATAAGCCATTGCCAAAATTTGAATTTTAAAACTTGATTTTGAAGTTGATTTTGATGCTAATTCAACGTAGTTTCTTTTTCATCATTAGCTTTTAAGTCGCTAAAGACACATGTAAAAGTATTACTCATAAATTACTTTTTATCAGTAATAAGCCGTTACGGCTTATAATCAGTCGTAGGCAACCGATGGGGACCTACATAAACTTCCACAGCAGGTGAGATAACATGAATGCAACCTTTTGGTTTTTGCAGGATTCAGCCTGTTTATGTTGTGGATGTTGCTGCTGCTATTGTCAACTCCCTCAAGGATGACGGCACCAGCATGGGAAAGACCTACGAACTTGGTGGACCAGAGATTTATACTGTTCATGAGCTGGTAATTATCATGCACAACATTTTGTTATGCAGCAATGAACGAATCTTCAAGTTGGTTGGTCGAGTTTTTTTATATAAAAATGTTCTGGATGTTACAGGCTGAGCTGATGTATGAGACAATACGTGAATGGCCACGGTACATCGATGTTCCTCTTCCTATTGCAAGGGTATGAACTTAAATAATATCTTGTGTTGGTCAAGGCAACCTGAGTATTGGATTGTCTCGTCTTTTAACAGTTATGCTTCGGGTTGTGCAGGCTATCGCATCTCCAAGGGAAATGCTGCTAAACAAAGTGCCCTTTCCGTTGCCAACCCCATCAATTTTCAACAAAGATCAGATTAATGCATTTTCTGTAGACACCCTAGTGTCTGATAATGGTAAGCATGATATCTTATGATTGATCTGTAACCTATTGTTTGCACAAGCTCACATTTGTTTCTGGGGACATAATACAGCTCTCACCTTTTCGGACCTCGGAATCGTGCCTCACAAATTGAAGGGTTACCCGGTTGAGTTTCTTGTGTGCTACCGGAAGGGCGGTCCAGCTTTTGGTTCTACTGTCAGTGAGAAGATACGAAGTTCTGAGCTGTAGTCTTCCACTCCTGAAGACACTGTAGAATTAATCTTTTAGTTGCAGAAACGTTGTTGTGTTTGTTTTCTTACTATCTGCTGCTGCTGCTGCCAGCCGCCCAACAGCGAGCAGGACCATATTCGATGCATATGTTGGTTCCTGCTCATGTTTTTCACCAATAAGACGCACAAAATCTTTGTCAATTTTTTGAGTTGCAAATGCAAGTGAGGCGAATCGTTGCAGTCCTACGACACAATAACAAAGATATGTTTCTTTCTTTACCCTATACATATATGCTCGCTGGTTTGCATTGCTTGCAATGATGCTACGGTGTGATAATGTGATAATAATTTGTTTAGTGTCTAATTTAGTATTAGGTTACTATGTTGTAGGAGTAGTTGATTAGCACATGTACAAATTCACTGTATACCATTTTGCTTGTGATGCCCTGTCCATAGGCCACACAGCCCATCAAAGCTGCAAACACCTCTCTCTGCTTCCTGGCTGTTAGGCCTCCACAATTCTGCTACTCCTGGCCCAAAACGCTTGTACACTGATCAGATCGATTGATTGATTGGTCTTCTAATTTCCCAGAAGAAAACAAAAGGGAGAGATTGATTACTGTGTTCACTGGCACTGTCATGAGAAATGGATGTGCCAGCCACCAGCTGAGCTGACAGCCGAGGACGAGCGAGCCAAGCAAAGCAAATGCATGGACCAGCAACTCGATTACAACGGCATTACCGGTAATCAAGCAATCAACCACGCGTGCATGCAGCTACCGCTTTGCCACATCACTCAATTCACAACTACTACCTCTACCAGACTACCAGTCGTACTGAATTCGAACTTGTGGGGTTTAATTCCAGAGTGGTGATTTTGATCAATCTGAATTCGATCAATGACGGGGACGCGTGACGACGTCGCCCTTTTGGCCCGCCGATTAAGCCGCTGGCTGAGCTTGCATTGCATGCATGATGCATATATATGGACACCCAGATGTGCAGCCCTGGACGGACGGACCGACGCATATATTGCTGCTTGGAATTTCTGACGACTTGATGCATCAACCAACGAGCTCAAGTACCACCGAGATGCAAGAGGCCGTCGTGCTGCATGCCATGCATGCACGCACGTTTCATCTGTCATAATCACTCCGGCTAATTATAAGAGAGAAATTAATTTGTATGCTCCCACCATTTCATATTATAAATCATTTGGCTTTTTGGTACAACTGATAAATTTTCATATGAAAATTGTTTATTTGATCACCTCATGGCAGCCATTTATATATACTCCCTCCGTTTCGAAATGTTTGACACCGTTGACTTTTTAGCACATGTTTGACCGTTCGTCTTATTCAAAAACTTTTATGAAATATGTAAAATTATATGCCTATATAAAAATATATTTAACAATGAATCAAATGATAGGAAAAGAATTAATAATTACTTAAATTTTTTGAATAAGACGAACGGTCAAACATGTGCTAAAAAGTCAACGGCGTCAAATATTTTGAAACGGAGGGAGTAGGTACCAACGAGAGTCAGTACAACTGAAACAGGTATATAAATGACCGTATCGTATTCATACGCCGCGCTCCTACAGCAACAGCACTAACAACTCATGTTCTCTCTCAAAAAAAAAAAATCATATAGTATCAACTTGGTTGGTACTCGGAGAGATTAACGTTTCAACTCGAGCACAAACAAGGGGGAAAATGGGCAAATGAGAGAGATGTGATTGGAATTAGTTGACTAGCTTGCTCTAGGGTGTGTTTAGTTCACACCAAAATTAGAAGTTTGGTTGAAATTGAAACGATGTGATGGAAAGTTGGAAGTTTATGTGTAGGAAAATTTTGATGTGATGAAAAAGTTGAAAGTTCGAAAAAAAAGTTTAGAACTAAACAAGGCCCTAATTAAATGGAGTGAATGAATGGAAAATGAGTGGCTGGTTTGCATAAAAGCAGATGCACTAACAGACAGCTGCTAGTTTTGATGACACATAGGGTGTGCTATCCAGCTATCCTATGAATGCTAGACAAGAATGGCATCCTGGACACTGTTAAACTAGTATCAATGAAATCTCAGAAATCATCTTCATAAGTCATAAAGTAGAAAGATTTGCAATTTTCAGAGGATGTACTCCGCTGAGAACTATTACTTGCAAAATCTGAGAAAGTTTATGATCAAAATATGTATGTCTATAATTTGTAGGGATTTTTTTTACGGTGCCCCTTTCAAAACATGACACACTAAATTAAGAAAAGTGATTACAAACATGTTATTAATTTACTTGCGCCTACACACATGTTACTCGTAAGTCGTAACAGGAGTAATAAAAAAAACTGGTATATAGTCTCCACTCCTAGTAGAGTTCAATCTAGACCTATCTTCTTTCAATGGATCATATTTATTTTTACTATCATCTTAACTACTATCTCTATCCGACATTTTTCTCAGTCCTTTGAAACTAGATACCATCCAAATTCTTATATTTTGATACCGAGGTAGTACTAATTAATAACCTCAACTGTTTAGAACTCCTAAATATTAACGATCGAGATTATTTCCACTTCTAATGATGAGGGAGTACTGTAGTGTGCTGATACCAGCCGGCTTAAGACAAACTGCAGATCAAGGCAGGAAGAGAGATACTGTAGAGCTACATCTATCATTGTTATTGTGTGCCTTGGGAGTTAGACAAAAGGCAGCCGCATGCTTTGATGCCCTAATTTTTGGTCTGATGTGTTCGTGTGGCGATTGTTTTCTTTTCCCTTTTTTTTTCTTTTTTGCCTCCCAGGTAGATCTTTCAGGTTAAGAAAAGATGATCAGACAAGCCATTGATTGGAGGTTTTGACTCTTTCCTTCTCCCAACGCGTTTACTTCTCTTGCTTGCTCGCTTCCATATTTGTTTTCTCTGCATTCTGATTCTGATGCTGTTGTACCTCTTGCCAACTTTTTAATTGACACAAGTGCGCCTTCTTTACGAGTAGGACTAACACCGTCCATTTTAAATTACTGGTATTTCTTTATATCTTTGCAATAAGTCAAACATATTTTAGCCATCAATTTCTACAAGAAATTCATATATTTTAACATTATAAATTTTATGTTTTTAAGATTCATCGAAAGAAATACTTTCATAGCATATATATAATCTAAGTATTGAATAAAGTGCAGTTCTCTCCTTTGTGGAGCAAGATAAGCAGAAAGAAAGCAGATAGTTAAAGTATATAGTGCACTTACTTTTGAGCTCTAACTTTTGACCACTGCAATTTACTTGCGTTTGTAGCTTCCTAATGCAAAGGATCAGTGATGGCTTTCTGCGATCCTACCCTATATATGCAATCAGTTTGGGTTCACCCATTGGAAATGTACAAAACGATTGGATACATTATACAGTAGTATTGCTGTCCATTTACAGATTTCACTGTTCAGTATATTTAATTTGGAGCTGTACCAGTCGCTGGAGATTACTGTACGTACAAGGGATTAATTTTCTGTACTGGCTACGAAAGAAGGATTGAAGCTACCTTGTTTTTACTGAAGGTGACTCTTGTGTCCTACTACCAGATCGTACAAGACGGTAAGACGGTTAATGTCAATCAAACCGAACTCCGAACCATGTGTGCTTGGTTAATGTCAATAAGGTGATTGCAGGCCGTAGTACTGCTTAAATATCCTTGGCCTGATAATTAATTTCTCTAATAGTAAATATATGATGTTGTTGATTTTTCAGCATTCATCTTATTTCAAAATCTACGTCAATAGTATTTATTTATGTTATTCTTTTTTATCAGTAAATGTATTTTAAGCATACTTTATTATTTATTTTTACGTTTGCACTGTTTTTTTAATAAAACCAATAATCAAACACTATGTTTAATAATAAACAACATCCTGTACTTAAAAAACAATTGGTAATACTCCCTCCATTTCATGCTATAATACTATTTAACTTTTTTTAATTCAAACTTTCTTATATTTAACCATACTTATAGAAAAATGTAGCAACATCTATAATACTAAATAGTTTAACTAAATATAGCATTGAATGTATGTTGATGCTATATTTTGTTCTATGTTAAAAACATTGCTATAATTTTTTGTAACTTTAATTATTAAGGTGGTGTTTGGATCTAGGGACTAAATTTTAGTCCGACACTAATTAGAGGCATTAAATATAGACTAATAATAAAACTAATTGTATAAATGAGAGGTAATTCGCAAGACAAAATTTTTAAGCCTAATTAATCCATAACTAGCACATATTTACTGTAGCATCACATAGACTAATCGTGGATTGATTAGGCTTAATAGATTCATCTCGCGAATAAGTTCAGGTTATGAAATAGGTTTATCATTAGTATACGATTAATATTTTTAATTAATATCTAAATATCGGATGTGACAGTTTAGTCCCTTATCTAAATAGTACCTAAATAAATGATTTAGAAAAAAAAAGGTTAAAGCATCGGAGGGAGTAGCAGTTTTGGTATATAAAGCTGGGCCCCGCATTAACGCGCTTGATTATTTCCATGCCCAACTTTTTCTTAGATAATGATCTCCATGTCCAGCCTAGGAGGTAATCAATTGATCCGGCCATGAAATTCTGCTCACTTTGATGCTTGAAATAATAATAAAAAAATAGCAGATGCATAGAGTTCGATTGATCCCCACCAAGAGCAGGTAAAGTAATATACTATAAATCGGTTATAAGCTTATACGGATAAGATAAAAGAGAAGAGAGAAGACAAGTGAGTTACATATCTGTATATGTGGGACTAATTATTAATAATATAGTATATATTTATAGTTAATTATTGTATAAATTAGCTATTAATTTAACTATGGATGGTATTAAACTTGCTCCAAGTAGTGCTACAGGATAATTTGGCGAGGTAGGTGCTGCAGCATTACATCTGAGTACACTCATTGTTGAGCTAAAAAAAAGGGGCTCCCGTGAATGGCGGTTACTTGTCTCCACGTTGTTAGGCACGAAATCATCATCCAAATTCACAAGCAAAATTGCTCCCTACCCTTTGCAGTTGCAGTGTTTCATCATTCGAGCGCTTTTAATTCACATCACATGCTTGCATATGCGTATGAGATGAAGAGGATACAGTGCTCGTTTGTACGCGATGTTGTTGGATGAGAGACATCGGTCGAGCACATTTATGTCGCATTCTCTACTCATCAACATCATACAACCTACTACTAACTCCAGCTTAAAACATGTAGAGCTGTTTACTTTTAAAACATAATGCTATTCCATTCCTTTCAT